TGAACGGCTTGTCACCGTTCCCATAGTATTTTGTTTCACTGCGACTAGTCGCTGGTGTGGCGATTTTTTAAGTACCCCTACTGAGATGACCAGTTTGAGGTTGTGTATTATTAGCTGTTTGCTTGGTTGATCTGATCTGCTGCAACCTTGTTTGTCTTGCTGAGCACGGCCTGGACTTACTGAGGTAAAGGCGTACTAATTGTCCTGTTCTATTCCCTAATGTCCAGAAGTCCACCTGGAGAGAGCCGGCCTTGCTGCAAGCCCCAATGTACGACCCCCCTGACGTGTGACTGAGCCGGAACAGAGCCGTGAGCTGGGAATGGGGAACTGAGGCGGGAATTCATCATCAGTAAGCTATTATAGTTATGTACGTTCGTTCTGATGGAGTGCCAAGGCCGGGACTATGGATTGCTTTGGCGGACAGTATTGACTTCATCATATTTTACTGATTTGATGACTGGATCATCATGGGAGGACATATTTGGGACTGAACGTGATTGCATGGGACTGATCGCGACTGCTAGGGACTTGACTTGCTTGCTGGGAACTGAAATTGAGCCGGTTGTATGGAATGTATGATGGGTTGTACCATGCTGGGGACAAGTGTTGGAGAACTTGAGACGTCTGGGGACAAGCTCAGGGGCGTTTGTAAGGGGATTGTAGCCTTGGAGGCTTCCCGAAAGGTGGCTAGGACCGGGGACTGGGACACCCTTTTTCGAATGTAAATACGCACGGAACATTCTTGCAACAATCTCTTTCTGGGCCCGCCATCGCTGCTGTGCATGTTTCTTTGTTTCCGAACTGTCCTCGGACTGTGTGTGTGCCGCATCCCGTTTCGCCTGTGGGGAAGGAGGCGACCTTGGTGTCTCCTGGGGACCGGGGCAGCATTCGATGCCCATCAGCTCGCTGTGGCGGCTGGTCTGGCAATTTCGGCTCTGCAGCAGGACAGGCCTGGTCTGCATCCGTCTGGCGCGGCAAAGGTACGTGGGCTACCGCCACACTGGCACCAAAAGCCAGTATGGTTCTTGTAAGCTGGGTGTAGCGTACCCTCTACACGAACGGCCAGCGGCCAGGGTACCCCTTATACCGGCCGCCAGGGTACCCCTTACACTGGCAGCATAGGGTACTCCCTGCACTGGCGGCCAGGGTGCCCTTTTTTACAAAGATGGGATCCACAAGAAAAGGCAGAGCGACTAATCTCATGACAGCCACGACCCTCCCAGTACGACCAATGGGTATTGGTCGGAAAACCGATGCAACCCGACTCACCAGGCCCTTCTGCTTACAACACGCTTGGTCGCGCATGGCTGCGCCCCTTGCTGAAGCAGATGGAGGCGCCCCACGGCGACCTGGGTGCGCTGTAGTACTTCACGGCATTTTCCGGGCTTGCCTTACTTTGGTGTGCCCGTGTGACGTGCAGCCACGCGCTGGCGTTGTGTCGTGAATTTATGCGGTATTTTTTTGGACTTGTTGGGCGTATGGTGAGGCTGTCGTGGGGTCTCTCTGTCATCTAAGTCATCTCCTGGCATTCGGAGTGCCATGGGCTTGCATTAGTAGAGCACCCGCTGACTGGTGTTTCTGGGGTCTTTCCGCCTCAGTGAGCGGGAGAGTGTTGGATGATAGTCCATGTTGCAGAGTTGCTGAAGTTGTTACACCCCCTCTCCACCACTTCTAGACCTCACGGGTCGCCAGCTGAGTGATATCATTAGCATATTAATTTTTCCGATGACGCTCATTATTGGCGACACGAACACCAGTGTTATTCTTCAAACAGAAGCGAGCCATGTGTTGGTGTTCCAATCGTTATCACTGAGCTAGCCATTGAGGAAGCACAGATAATTTCGCTGCAGTTTAATGAATCCCAAAGCAGGTGTTCATCGATGGTTGGCGTAGAACACTGTGGTGGTTCTCATGGGCCAATGTCAAGAAGTCCTGATGCATGGAGCAATGCTGCGGGGTTGCTCCTCATTCCACCAATGCCAAAGTATCATCAATGCTTCAACACCACTGCCCGGATCTCCAAATGATGAACATATACCACGCTGCCAGAGTAATGGAGAAGCCACTGAATGCGAGCATGTACTGTGCACTTGCCAGATAGAGTGCAGTACAAACCAGGCAGAATGGTTCATAGACCGCCCACACACACCTACCCCCAATTCCCAACCCCTTTAAAACTGCACTGCTTGGGCACGTGGAATGGCATGGAACATGTCGGATGTGCCCTTTGAGTCCTGTATGATCCCTGTGGCTAAGCAGTGGGGCGGCGGGACGTTGCAATTGCGTGAAATTGCCTGCACAGTTTCCTGAAATTTGGGAATTGAAATGGACTGGGCACTTTGGGCGTCCAAAGGCGACAACTCATTCGCATGGACAGCCCTGAATGCACACCATGTTTTTGCCCTTGTTGCGGACTGCAGTGCGGTCACATTCAGCGTACATCTGAAAATTCGGCAGATGTTGATGCAATGTTGATGAGGGTTGATGAAAGAGGGCCATTGAAACAATGGCTATCAGTATTGGTGAGCTGCCCTTGAAACAATGGCTCTTGGCGTTGGCGTTTACCAACCCTCCGACAAGGCATCTTGATGCAACATTCCAATACAAGCAGTGTTCCAGAAATGCTGCATCAACGATGAGTTTATCAGCCCAGAGATGCATCTAGAAATTTGGCAGGCTTTGATGCACCATTGACAGCCCCTTGGATCAACGCTAGCCTTCAGAGGTTGTGTTTGTAGAGCTGCGTTGATGCAATGGCCTGTCAATGGTGCGTCAAAGCCTGCCAAATTTCCGGATGTAAGTTGCGCAGCTTGAGACGCAGCGGGCGAGCGGTGGTTGGTTAGTGGAAAATTGGTGAGTGCGACCAAAATAAAGTGAGCACTATAACGCAGGGCCAAAGGTCACCCTGACTAGGTGCGCATCACTTGCACCCTTGTGCAGATGACGCTCAGATGCGGTGCAGCGACATTTGTCCACCCCGTGCATGTACAGGTGCAACACAAACAAATCAAAATCAAAATAACTCACTAATGGAGTCAGAATGGACAGTAATCAAACCAAAAAGTTCTGCACCACATAATTTGCGAGTAAAAGTAGTTATCTACGTGATAGAAGTATATTCAACTAGGGTTGCAAGTCAGGAGCATGCCCAGTGTGTCTGGCTGTTGTTATAGCCGCTCCGCACAATGGCAAGTTTGGCGCTTTCTTAATTTGCAATCTTGTTATTGGCAGCAATCAGGGACCATCACAACACGCACATATGCGGGTATATAACCCAGGCATAGTTTTCACGTTTGCGTTTACTTTCTGCGTTTACGTTTCACATGTAAAAACGTAAATTTGCGAAAGGAACTATTTTTGAAGATAATTTTATGTTTCTACGGCACGTTGGGACACCCAGGTTACGCGGTGAAAGTCGTGTACAATGGTCAGTCCTCCGCCATCTTCAGCACCCCCAACACAGTGTCCATCTCGCCCTCGGCAAGGGCAATGGCGGCATGGAATAAAAATTCGTTTTGTACATTCCAGCGCGTCTTACTGCCACTCCCCGGACTTCCCAAGTCTTTAAGTACTGTCGTTATGTGCACGGGGCTGTATTTACGTTATGTATACTTCCTTGTAAGCGTGTTTGCGCGTAACAACGTAAAAACTATTTTTACGCGCAATAACGTAAAAACTGTTGTCATGCGTAAAAACGTAAATGCGATCTGTGTCTATGGCGTAAAATCAAGCCTGATATAGGCGGTTTGACATCACCGCGTTCCTGTGGGGCTGCGCTGTGGGAAAGTATGTTAGATCCGCATTCTACGGCCCCATCGACATCGCCGCTTCCATTATTTTCACGTTCCGACAGTCAAAAGAATTGATATATGGATGACCCAATATTTTAATGTTGCGAGCAGCGGCCCCTTAAACAGTGCTGAAAAGGAGAGCCCATATTCTTCTGATGTAGCGATTCGGGTTTTCCGATGCGCAATTTATCACGATGGTTGTTATCCTCGCCAGGAGATGTGTGGATGAACACACAGTATCTCTCGATGATTGGTTTTTCCTTGGTGTTTTCGGTGTCCAGGAAGACCTCTTTTTTCCTAGGTTTCACTTCCAGATATTCCACTACCGACATTTTTTGCTAAAGTCCCCCTGGAAGTCATTGGAGACCTTAATGGCGTATTGAATCAAGACTGAATGGGACGGACGGTTCGTTAACTGGAGTGCTCGAGCACTGCAGTTAGCAGACCATCCAGTGAGACCGTGTGTCAGATCAAGATCTGCAATTCCATGCGATGAGGTCGTCGCAGCTTGCAAGTTGTTAGACTCACAAGTACGGATACCCCAGCGTCGATTTGGCGCCAAGCACGCCAAAAGTGATACAATGTGGTCCCTGAACAATTGCGAATCAACACAAATGAATGGGCAAATGCACTGTGCTTTCATTGGAGAGATGTTGCCTGTCGCGCGTTGGCCTCAAAATGCTTTGATCAGGGAATTCAAGCGCACACTCGAGGGCGCAGGTTTGCATATCTAATCCAGTGGTTTCCACAAGTACATTGCTTTGCCACGCTCTTTGACAGGTAATCGAGCAGCGTTTTCCAAGCATGGCTTCCGATCGCATGACGCCACAATCAGTTTTGCTGTGTCCTATCGTGCATACTGACGGCACCGCGCGTGGACGACCAGCCTCAATACACAATGTCAGAATGGACCCGTGCATTAAATAACTAGTGGCGTCTTCATCGTTTAAATACAATGCAGAACTCATCTGTCCTATTGATTTACTGTGCCTTCAGCTGAAATGCATAGCCTCCGATGCCTCTATTTGTCGCTGCAAAACGACACCCTGCTGAACCTGTTAGCGTCAGTGTCAGGTCTCCAATGCCGCCATAAGGGCTTGCCGTACCACGGCAAACCTTTCGCTCCCCTGTCAGATCAGGTAGATTATACCGGTCTATACCGTGCCCTGTTTGGCCAGATCCCATTGGTACAGATCATGCCCGATCCGATCAAATGGGGGTTTGGCTACTCTGCCCGCTGGTGGGAATGGCGGCGACGGGGCTGTGGACTGGGGCCGCGGCGACAGGGTTTTGAATCTGAGATGCCCCGTTGACCTTGTTGGCGTCTTGGGAGCCCCGGACAGCAACCCCATCCTGATGCTCAGGCTCGGTGGTACTCTGTCGCCGGGGTGGAAGACCTGTGGCATGTCATCACAACGTAGTTCTCAGAAGCCAGGCAGCGATTGCCAGCAGAAATGCGGGAACAGGTCCAGCGCAAACGCTGCACTTTGGATTGCATTCCACACGATAAAAACGTTCAAAGGTCTGCAGGTGCAGAACAAAGGTGCACGCGATGGAGCAGCCGCGTAAATTTTCAGACGCGCGGTGTAGTGTGCTGCACACCGGAATCGCACAATGGTTGGGTCGTCATGGGAGGGGATGTCATAAAGTGCAACGCGACCAAATTGGCGGAAACCTTCTTCAGATAAATTTCAGAGATTGGCGCGCGTCAGGCGAGTTGGCTGCATGGTGGTGACAGCGCCAGTCACTGCCACGATCATAATCGTTTAGTCACACTGCAGTCACGTTTCATTGGCTGGCCTCCAGCACAGAGGAACATGCGATCTTGGAGATTGTCACGTACGCCCCAATGTTCTAGACCGAGCATGTTTCGGTTCAAGAATTTCATTTCGCCTGCAAGAGCAAATGCGTCACACCAGTGCCAACATATAGGCTTTGTTCTTAAAAGATTGAAGTATCTTGCGCCTCAGCACCACGGCGCAAGACAACTCAAAGGCCTTGTCTTATCGCGCATGTGTCTGGCGTGGATCCCCTTGCACCTGATACTGTTATTTGGTCCTAAGGCGCCCATCTCAGTGAATCGTTCTTTGCGCATTTTCCTGCGACCTCAGAGGAGATTCAAAATCGAGATTCGCCACCACACTTTCGCACTGTTCCGCCTGCACGGTGGAAACGGCGCTGGCAAGATGACGGCTAAAACCACATAATTTCGAGCCATGGACCAGCTTGATAATTTTTCTTAACAGCAATATTCAGCATACTGAATGATTTTATGCATCCCAATTGCACAAATGAGAAACTCTGCCTGTATCAAAACATTCGACTCGAAAGGGAAGGACAGTTCGCTCAAAAGGACCCACCTTGCGTGTTGCCTGGCTGGCTGTTTTCGCCGCCTGGCTGACTGTTTTGGACTGTCTTCGTCTCAGCAGTTGGCTGGGATTGCGACGCTTTCTCCGCGAGCGCTGCTGCGGACTCTCTTCGCCGCCGCTCCTTCAGGATGTTTTGCATCATGGCCTCCTCGGTCACGCAGCCTGGTGGCCAGTAGCTGCAGGCGACAATGACCGTCATCAGAAGTCTGAATAGACCACGTGCAGCAATATGGACCAATCACGCACCTTGCACCACAGGCAGTGCACCACAGGCAGGGTCGTGCGGTTGGGTTATCTGCGCTTGACTGACCACTGCTATTGCATGATTTGCCCAAATCCAGCCCTTGCAGCAAGACCAAATGGGCAACTTCTCCCAGATAAGTGTTGGCACATGTCGCAACGATACTCGTTGTGAAATGAGAACTGGCCACGCAATGGCACCCACCACCTGAACAAGATCTGGAACACTCCGTCGCATGCAGGGACGATGACGTTAAAATGCGCCAGTGCGGCAGCAGGGCACGGTGTCAGTTCCAATGCATCGAAACCAGCTCTGTGCGCAGTTGCGTCACGACAGCGGGTACAAAACAGCTCGAGGCAATATGCGCAAACCTGTTCAGCAGCGTATCTGCGTCTTTCGACTGCGCAATGCATCACAACTTAAGAAACAGAAACCTGGGTTCCATGACGACTTCGTCCATTTTACTGCGATTTGCAGTGCAAGTGTACGATTTTCAGCAGTTTAATGAAATTCTCATAAGTCTATGCAAGGTTCCGAAAACCCCATCCAGTGCTTGATTCTCTATGGAATCAAACACTGGAAAAAGCCAACTTGGGACAGGTGGAAGTGCATCGACGAGTGTCCATCATCGCGAACAAGGTGTAGGGGTCGAGACTTGCGCCGTGAGGGCAAACGTAGTCCAAGGAATCCAGCGACAATGACAGGGCCAAAAACCACACCTCAGCAATTCGCCAAGAATGGATTCTGCGACCTCGTCCCCTGCATCCCGCCTTTTCTGATGCGCACTGACCGCGTCGTACAGAAGCCTCTGGATCTTCTTGTTCCACGGCAAATTTCGGGACCGCCCGCGGGGCTTGGTGCCCTGAGGCGACTGGAAATCATCATCTTCATTGTTGGCAGGCTCGTTCTTGTGCGAAGGCGAGGGGCCACTTTCTGACAGGCGACGCGCCAAGGATTTTCCACTCAGATCGAAAAGTCTCTCGCGCAAATGAAAAGCTGAATGCCCTGCTGTTAGGAGGAGTGAATGGGTAATACAGGAAACTATGCACTCCCAAGAATGGCTGCCCCTGAGCTTGAAATGCGCTAATTGGCGCGCTTTGCAGCTTACTTGGCGAGTTTTCTCAAAACCAAGTTCAAGGCTGACTTTGCGCGCATGCGCTCAGCGCCAGCGGCACCCTTGTTCTGGCACCGGCACAAAGCGTGCCTGAAATTTGCCCGTATCAAACATTTCCTGTCCGTGCTTAAAGTTTGAATCGCACGACGTCAAACTGTAGAAATTCGCTTAATGGCCGCGGAAACCGCAGCAAAGGAGGGACGTTTCGTGTGATGTGTTGGTGTCAACAGTATTCGTGATGCCGTTTTGCTCCCAGTGAGCTGTTTTGCTGCAAACTGCAAAGTGGAGGTTGCGATTCGGTTGTTCGTCAGCCTTCAGCCACGGTGCTATGGACCTAAAGGGAACGCAGCAGGCGATCAACCGTTTCTTATCATGAACGTTGGTTCCAAAATGTTGGAGTGCCGTCGTCGGCCCCGGTGCAATAGCAAAAGCGATCGACACTAACCATGAAAACCTGCATTTTCAAGGCCAGTGAAACACATGATTATCCTCACCACTACTATTGTCAATATGATAACTACTGCTTCCTCCGTCCAAGAATAATTGTCCTCTATGACTATGGGGCACGACTTCTCCATCGTACTTACGTCAGTTTTCAATGAAATTTCGCCCAAAGTTGTGCTTGTAAGTTTGGAGCACACTATCAAAATTTCAAGTCAACTCACTAAGCATTGAGGATTTGGCAGTTCTTTGTACCAGTGGTCTTTCACCTAGTGAACCTCGGTTTCTGGGTTCAAAAATGACCAAAATTTACCTTCCCCCTAATGCTCAAGGGGCTCGTGTCTCATTTTCTATTCTTGAAAATTGGTAGTTAAGGGTTTTGCAACCTAATTTTTCCGTTTCTAAAACTTGGTATCAATTTTCAGGCAGTCCTTGTAACGAATTCTGTCTTTTAAATAGAACACAATTAATCTTGGACAGAGGAAGTATCAGTTATCATCATCAATATCATCATCATTCTCATTGTCTGGCTTCACATCGGCGTACTCCACGGCAAGGCGGCCAAAGCCCAACTCATTGCCTGACAGGCCACAGGCAGGGCTTGGCGCAGCCACAAGTGTCCGAAATTCAACAATCAAACACACAACCAACCCAGACGCCCCACCTTCGCGCTTGGCGGCAAGCATGCGATCCTGGATGGCCCGATGCAGCTTCCCCTTGACCCGGTTCAACGTCTTCTCCCTCTCTCGGGCAGTTTCCTCTCCCTGGGTCGACCTCTTGCTCATGAACTTCTTCCTCAAGTTCTCTTTGCTCGTGAAGGGGTCCATGAAGCGCATGAGGTCGGCCACCAGCTTGGCGGCGGCGCTGCGGCCCATCTCGCAGTAGCTGGTGAACACCGCCACGTCGCTGTGCAGCTGGTCGTTCAACACGGCGGGGATCTTCTTCTTCTCGCCGGAAGGTGGCTGGACCTACGTGACGCAATGGTGCACGAAATGTATGTCTGCGGATTATTCGTGCGCTCGAATCCAGTGAGAATTGGGCAGAGAAAGATCGATTTGAGGCGATGCCAAGGTCCCCAAAAACCAATGCATTCTTGCACTCAGTGTAGCTATGCACGACGGCAGCGCCGCCTGCCGCTGCTGCGTAAAGACAAGGAAGCTGCGCCAAGCGGTCCACAAAGATAAGCGTGGTACCAAAACAACCCAGACAAGCCGCATCGTAAACATTGCAAAAGAGCGCCTAAGGTGGAAATGCATGGGCTCTTATGGAGCCCCATCGTGGACATCTGTCTGACAATAATGTGGGCATTCGAAGGCAATAGGCAATTTGCACTGCAAATTGGGCACAAATACCTGTGATTTGGAGCAAATTGGAGATGGCACGGATGCCAGCAGCAAGACTGCAACGCACGAACAGTCAACCACCAATGATCAAGCGGTTTAATGGGCGCCGCCACCCAGAAGCCACGGGCCATGGCAGCAAACACAGATTCTGCTTCTCAATAGTCACAAGCAAAAGGTCATTCCGATCCTAGAAGCAGCACCGTTGATCACTGGTTTCAGTCGATTGCCCCGCGGACAAGGCAGCAAAACTACTCGCTGTACTTAGTGCCTCGATAATGCACTTAAAACACCTTTATCCTTCCTGATTCATAAGTTCCAACGCGCAAAGAAGCAAATCTTGCTATAAGCATCAGCATTCAATAATCCTGTACCCAACCATACTCAGTAAGTGGATTTTCCTTGACATCTTTTAGGTCGCTAGAACGCACCTTCTTTGCCACCGCCTCCAGCCTTGCGACACCCGCCTGGACTTCCGGAGGGAAGTCTGGCGCAATTATGCAACTTCTAGATGGCGACGTCTTGGGCGGCGTGCCGCTGCCGCTCGACTTTCCCCCCGCAGGCGACGGTGGCGCGGATGGCCTCGCACCTGGTGGCCAGCACAGTAGGATAACCGCAGGGAATGAGCAAGATAATGTGAAAATGAAACATGGAAGAGCGAAGGGAACAGCCGAAGAGGGCAAAAGGTCGGTTCGCAGATGGAGCGAGCCACGGGCAGCTGCAGAATCGCGATACCTCCAGCCCCCCTCTCTCCAAACAGATACGGTGAAGGAAGAATCGGAAACAATCGCAAGTTAGCAGGGCCTGTCGCCTGAGAGGCTCTCACACGTCTGGCGGGTCCTCAAATCTAACGACTGGACGAACACATTACAAAAGCACGGAAAAACGCACAGTGGTCACAGCACGCACTTCTCCTGAGTTAAAACAATTTGGCAGCATCCGCGTTATTGGCGTTCTACAGGACCTCGCAATGCTTGCTTTTCAATCCAATCGAAATTCGATCGAATGATATTTTCACTGACGAAAGCAATGCCAGCCTGCAGTACAGTTTGACAGGCACACGTCTTGTGCCAATGTTGTTTCAGGCTTCCAGTGCGGGCCTGACCAGCTGCGGCTCCTCGCTGCTTACCTTGGCTGTGGGAAAGCTTCTTCAGCTCGCAATTGCCAGCTGCCTGTTGGGCTTTCTGTTGCCCACCCGACGTTGACTCACCGCCTTGCAGCTGCTTCGCCACGTTCTGTCCGATGCTGGTAACCTGGTGTGCAGTGAAATGGGCGACAATGCAACTGAGCAGAACTGTCAGTGCACTGCACTTTTCGCACACGATGTCGCAGCCAATGCACCGTGGTGTCAGGCCACGCGCAATATGCACAAAATGTACAGATAATCCAAACAATGCATCCGAAATATCAACTGATGAACAAAATTTGCAACCAGGCATCTGGCAGAGAGTGACATATGTCACATGGTCACCGGCAATGCAACTTGCCAAGGAGAAACGAATAGCCAATGCAGTTCAAGGTATTCGAATCTACACAGCATTTTGAACGGGCTGTATCTACCAATGGTGTTCTGGGTAAACTTCCTGCCATATGGTTCTTTGTGTTGGACAGCAATGAAGCCTATGTGTCTAGGAATGCACATCCTTTGGGGTGAGCTGCCGGAAGTGTCTAAAGGACCGCAGCTGCATTCTCTTGCTATCAATATAATGGTACGCCATTTCCGCGTACATAAAGACAAAGAAGAGACGCAGGGGAGAGTACAGCAGCAGCAGGGCTAACAGGCAAATGGTGACAGTGTGCCGTTCACAAGAAAAGGAAAACAATGGAAAATGACCTGTAGCCTGGAAGAGCGACCAAAAGAATACACGCCCGCAGGCTATGAGGGATGGAGCAGCTGTCATTACATGTGCCTCCCCTGAGCTCAGGCAGCTGGACAGCGGGATGCTAACAATGGTCTGCAAGGCCCTCGCAATGTTAGTCAAGGGGCTTCAGGCACCCAACATTATCTCACATGCTACATGTGCAGCGCTTGCATCGCATGGCTCACCTTGCCCTGCACCTGCTCCTTCAATGCCACCATGCCCTTTGTGGGAGCCGTGGCGACCATTACGGCAAGAGGCAGGCTCTCGAGGCTGTCCTCATCGACTGGAACTGTGAGAACATGCAGTACAACCTTGGAAGGCTTCTTTCACAGGCATTGGTGCCAGGCACACCATTTGTCACAATTCCTTCGTGTGTTTGTGCCATGCCCATTCTGGAGATCATTCATCAGCAATGGGCGAATGTGGGAGTATGGGAACCAGACGAATCTGGTCGTCATTGTGTTCTTTTTGGAAAAGCTTTGAACAGAGAGGATCTTCAGACCTGCCGAGATATCTTGCAAAGCAACTGGAAAATAATGTGTTCAGTCACCCCTGCGTTCCTCCTGTGCCTCCCCCTGCTGCCCTGATCTGTTGCGATCGCTGCATGCAGAAACACACTGCTTGACAACCCTGATGATCATTTTATCGACTCGACAGGCACACAGTTGACACATTTGCCACAATTCTGAACTGCGAATTTGCACTAGTCACTAGCCTGGCACCACTTTGCGAAACAGGGAGGCGGATTTATGGCCTTCGAGTATATTGTGGCATCCCAGCTTGCAGGCTCCGGCTGGGAATGCTGTGAAAGCAATGTTGATTTTCACTGTCGACACCAAATGCCCCTTTGGGCAGATACGCCATGTATGTGCAGTGCCATTCTGACTACAGAAGGTGCCGCACTTGTGTGGTCCATTTGCCCAAGGGCACTGCCTCAGCATGCCTGGTAGAACCCTCAAGCATTGCCCTCTTGCCATGGCACCAAACTTAGCAATTGTAAAAAGCGGCTGCTGCAGTGACACATGAACGGAAGAGTGACCTTTGCGACTTGCACCTTGGATGGAATGCCTGGCAGATTGCTGTTGAGCATGCTGCAGAGCTCTGGGACCAACTGGCTTTGGCTTGATGCTCCTGGCACTGGCACAAGCACCTGAGACCAGAACAGAAATACCACACCTCGTCAACGGGTCTGAAGATTGCCAAACTTAGGTGTAGCCAGTGCATTGTCAAGTTGGATAAGTGACGTCACTGAATATTCACGCCCCAGGGGACGATCATCCCACTACCAACCACAGTGAGTACCAATGTCGCCCAGGGATGCAAGGGCTTGCGCTGTCCAGTTTTGATGACTGCCAGGGTAGTTCTTGACCCAAAATGGAGGTGTGGGCAAGGGAGGGAGGGGAGGAGGGGGGGGGGGTGGGAAATTCAGTTAATTAATGTTTTGGCACTCAAATGCCAAGCAGGTGATTCTGAAAGGGACCACATTTATGGTACCCTAAATTTTATGGTTTTTTGATGCTCGGGCCAGGTTAGGCCTAGAAATAGTGTTCTGCTTGTGGGGGCTACTCAACTGTATGGCAACCTGGCTTCACTTGTCAATTTTCATTTTGCCATTCCGCCACCCTCCCTGCCTGTGGCAAGTCCTGGCTGCACCCCCACGGTGCCACCAACCCCTGGCTGTGCCCCCATGGCGCCACCCTCCCTGGCTGCGCCCCCATGGCGCCACCCTCCCTGGCTGCGCCCCCATGGCGCCACCCTCCCTGGCTGCGCCTCTGGGAGCGCAACAACGGAGGGGATGGGGTGGGGGTGGCGCATGACTTGTCACCGTCTAAGAAAGGAATCAAAGTGGATTCCAAAGTATGCCTAGGTACCTACTATATGCTGGAGAGCTATAGCTCAAGCACCAGATACATGTGCATATATGTGCTGAAACATGTGAGGATGGCAGAAGGTACTGCATGGGACAGAGTACTTGCCACCATCCACACTGTACCACTGCTGAGCCCAGTAGTTGTTGCTTCCTAGCAGCGCATCAAAATGTACAGCACATCCACAGCAATAACCAACATACATAGTGCTGAAGCGAGCCAACAGCATGCATGGCCCTGCCGAACAGAGTGCAGGAACGGGCACTTGCAATGGAAAATATCTCACACTCGCCTGCAGCAACGGCCATTGCAGCAATCGAGCCAACGATCGGCACAGGCTGCGGTTTGCTGCTTGGCTCGCATCTGGAGGGCTCGTTGGGTTGATTTGAAGTGCTGGGCTGACTTTCTGGTTTTGTGCTGTGGGTCTTCTTGCCACCCGCCTGCAAGGTGGGCGACTGTTTCCTCTTCCTTGCGGGTGGGGGTGGCATCTTGCCACCTTGCTTGCCTTGCTTCTCTGCCTGGTGTCACACAGCAAGCACAGAAGCTGTTGAGATCAAGGCCATATCCATATTTTCTGTGAAGAGCATGGCAGCATTTGCCAACTGTTCAACACAACACCCTCAGAGCGGACATCGCATATGCAGCCTTGGAGACCATACACTGCCACAAGGCCCATACACAAGAAGGTTAGAACGAATGCCGGCTTTGAATGAGCAGAGGTTGGGTCACACAAGTACAGCGAATGGGTGATGAGGTGCACTGACAAGGAATCCCATATCAAGGACTGTGGTTACGATTGCCCCTTTCTCACTGAAATACAGGAGCGTCCATGCAATATTGGATGTCTAAAATTGGATGCCTCAAATTTCCATCAACGCAAACTTGTGTTGCTCGCACAGGATGCACTGATTGTGTGCTGTACCTGCTGCACTTGGAGACAACTGCCTGGTAGGTGAGAAAACGAAGCCAACAAGGCTTGTCCCCATTGGCTGCCCACAATGGAACCTTTTTATGTTTCTTTTCTGTGCTTGAAAGTCAAATTCGATAGGCATAGCCAGGAACGCTCGTGAATGCCGTAGTCACACCCATAGTCACCACCAACGTGCATAAGGGCTCGGATTTGTCACGTGATGTGGACAAACTGCAGTTCATGGAATTTAGATGCGCATAACCAGCGCATTGGCAACATAAACGCCTTCCCAGGTGTGTCGAAGCCCCATGCAGGACAAAATACAGAAACCGGATACCTCAGAACTGGCCCTGGCCTTGGGCTGCTTTGTCGCTGCTTTGTGCCTCTTTGCTTGGTTTGTGAGGGCCGTTGCCACCTTCCATGTGCCCTTGGGCTTTGCAGCCCCACTGGGCCTTCCTTTCTGTACTAGCGCACTGTCTGAGGCCCGCCGCTTCTTTGCTGGCCGCTCGGCTGTGTCCATGGTGTACATGTTCAATGGTCCCTGCATTGATCACACATTTGGTGCCATGAGGTGTGTAGTGCACACCAGCAACAACTACAATCGCGATGGAGGTGTGGAATCTGGTTGCCCCACTCTTCCATCCAAGATTCAGATTCAACGATGGCTGAACATCAAAGCTCACAGCACCTGCAGTAGTCCAAAATGGATATTGAATTGTCATGCTGTCTGCATCGGATAAGGCAGCAACATCAGTGCCAAAGTAATTGCCCTCTGGTGTCACCGTAGGGACCGTTAATGATGGCTGACTTTTGGGTAAACTGTGTTCAGCACAGGTGGATCTGGGTGCCTCCCAATTGTCGATAGGCTTTTGCCACCAGAACCCAAGAGGAAACAGGTAGGCAAGGCTTGTATTCTAGACCACACTGCTGAAGGCAGAACTGCATTCACATCTGCAGATGGGAAAGACACCACTGATCCTGGGCTGTCACCTACAGATTCAATATCCCTTCCTTTCTGAAGTCCTGACTTGCACTCTCGATGGTCCAAATCGTCCTACTTCGACATTGCAATTCTGTTTGTTCCCTTGCATTTCAGGAACCCACTCTTGTCGCAAGACATGCAGCAGCTAGTGGACTAATTGAACAAATGAGCTGGAACAACTGGAGTACATTCCGTTTCCATGAACTGATGGCAACTGACGACTGCACTGTCTGCACCAGATTTTGTGTACAATGTGAGTGGGAGGACAGAAAGCAACACAAACTCCACCAAAAGATTCAGTTGGAGCAAAATGTTGGGAGAACATACCCTATGCACGTAGAAGCCGCTGTACTTCAGCTTGTGGCCCCTGGCCTCATAAAGTTCCACCAGGTCCGAATCGTCTATCCATTCATCGTCAAGGTCATAATTCCCTCCTTTCGCCCTCCCTGGCCGTTTTTCATCCTCCTGCAACAGACATTCAAGCATTTCTCTGTCCAGTTGATTCACAGTTGAGCAGCAGCAATTTTGAAACGTTTGTATGGGGAGCATGCAGTGGTTTCCCTGTCATCCAATGACTTGCAATCAAAACTTCCTGTCTGGATGGAAAACAGCAGAATTATATTGTAACTGTTGGCATGGCTGATACTGCCAAGACCAACATGCTGCAATATTCACAGTTCTAACTTTCGAAAATAAAAGTTGCAGCCTGAAAAGCAAATACCCCCTTCTGGGATGTGTGCAGCCCCTGCTGCAATCCATGCATCAGCATAACGTGCAAGACACCAACGTGTAGTGGCTGCAGAGCAGCAATGTGCAGAAGTCCAGCGCAGCTGCTACCACCATTTGCACCAGCAAACCATTTCCATGCCCCAGTTAGATAGAGACAGGTTAAATCGTCGGTTTGCTGGGGCTTATGGACATTACCCTCAATGGCCACATTCCTGGAATACTCTGAAACATATTTACTCCTGAACGAAGTTCACGATTTGTACTTCAGTAACAATGCAGCACTCAGCAAGGAAGCAATGGGCTTTAGAAGGTGTTGTGCACAGCGACATCGCACTCAACAGAACATGGGTTACCTCGTCATCGGCTTCGGGTGCTGTGTCCTCATCATCCGATCCACCCTTTAAAACCAAGAAGCCAAGATTCACACTGCTGTACCACAAAATAGGTGGATTTCCTGTTTGCACCAAAATCACAACTTCGTGGATGGCTCTACGCCTGTCATCGTCTACCAGGAGCATGGGCAGCGCCTTGTTGTAGGCCATGGTCGTTACTATTTCATGCCGGAAAGGAATCGCAAGTGGAATTGCCTTGTTCGCTGTTTCTGGCATGCAGCCTCAAGCCTATTTGCTCTGGCGGACATCACACTGTGGCCCCAATTCCAGTGCCCTGTCATTTCCTGGCATGTGTAGCTGGGCCAGATTCCACACATCTGCTCAAGAGGTTGCATCTACTGCACAACCCTTTTCACTCAACCGTACACTACTCTTTGCCGAATCTTGAAAGCATGTCAGCTGGCATTGCAAGTTCGATACTTGTTTGCTTTTCGCGTGTGTTGAGCGACTGTGGTTGTGGGTGGGTTCAAGCTTGTAGGATAACAGGGTGTACGTTGGGGGTGGCGCGGTGGGCAGGATGGTTGTGGGTGAGATGAAGAGGACTGGGTTTTACTTTAGATGATTTGTATGCCTCAATATAGAGGCGGAGGTTGTGGGTGGGTTCAAGCTTGTAGGATAACGGGGTGTATGTTGGGGGTGGCGCGGCGGGCAGGATGGTTGTGGGTGAGATGAAGAGGACTGGGTTTTACTTTAGATGATTTGTATGCCTCAATATAGAGGCGGACAGTCGGTACTTGAGTGAGGCGAACACTGGGACAAACAATGGACATACTGTTGTTGTGCGTTTGGGTGGCGACATAGCCATCGGTGGCTGACACGCATTTACTGGAATTTCATCATCATCAGCAGCAGCAACAACATAGGTGACGGAACCACATGACCTTAAAGGCACACAAATTTCTTCAGCAACAAATTGGCCCAATTCTTCCAGCACGGATCCCACAGTACTGGTTGGCTGCCCATCATCAGCCTGCCAGGACAAAATCGATCGCCAAGATAATTGGGACCCATTAATCGCCCACCTCCTCATCATCCACGTCCGCCTCCTCCGTCCACCGCCCGCCGCCCTCCTCCTGTATAAGGCCCTCGCTGTTGTTGCCGCTGTCCGCACCGTCCTCCGCCTCCTGCCGGCGCCGCACACCACAAGCACCTCACTCCACAGGCTTACCCCCCTTCCCCTCCCGCGGAGTGGCCAGCGAAGTCTTCCGCGGCGCCACCGAGGGGTCGCAAGCACAACAGCGCATGCCGGGCCGGCGCCCCTGGGGCGGCGAGAGAGCAAGGTTGTGGCACAACGCCCCGATGAACGTCCCTCCGGGCCAGCCAGTCGATTTTGATCCCCAAAGGCGTGAAATCGGATGGAGGGGAGGGTGGAGGTGATCGCCGCGGGCTTTGCGCAAGCGGAACGGTCGTGCTCGCAGAAGCGGTGGCCAAGAATCAAACGTCGACGGGAAGGGGAGGGATGCCGGTCGCCAACGCGATCGGCGCGGTAGAGCGGGTCAGGCGGCCGGCTGGGTGTGTGTGCGATCCGGACGGCTCACCGTGTAGGCCCTCTCCAGCAGCATGCGGATCCTGTCCAGCGGCGAGACGCGCTTCAGCTGGGCGTCCTGGACGGGGTGCACACACGGGCGGCACACAGGCGGGACGCATCAGAATCGCGCAAAGGGCCGCGGGCGCAGGGGGAGTCCATGAATCGGGCAGTGGGTCGGCGGGCGCCGCGCGCCCATGGCGGGAGTTGGCAGTGAAGGCATCCCGCCAGAGACGTCGGGTTGAGGAGGGGCAGGGGGGGGAGGGCGGGGGGGTTAATAGAGTCAGGCTAGCGGCGTCGATCGGCGGCCCAGGCGGCGCCACTCACCAGCCCGCTTCCCGCCACGCCCTTGGGCGCCTTGTCCCGCGCCCTGCCGTTGGCGCCGCTCAACTGTCGGATGGCATGGATGGAGGGTCAGCGCCCGTCGACGCTGTTGGCCAAACCGAGCAAAATCTCTGCCGAAATCGCGCGAGGGAGGGAAGCGAGCCCCGCGGCACCCCACCTTGGCCCAATCCACCACCGAATCCTTCGACAGGTCGACCCAGTGACCCGTGGCCGCGGCTGCAGTCGGCCTGGCGCCTGCCCCGCCGCTGGCATCGCTGGGGCGATCGCTAGCCAGGGCTGGGCCGCCCGGCGTGCTCCCCAGGTGCAGATTTTCTCCAGGCTGGACCGCTGCAGGGCCGTCGATGGCCTGTGGGACGATCCTCCGGCCAGGCCTGGGCCCCGGGGGCCCGGTCCCGCGCTCCATGGGCGCCGGGGGAGGTGGCTGTGGAACGGGGGGCCTGCTCCGCTTGGAGACCTGACCGAGGCGCGCTGGGCTTCGCCCGTTCGGGAGACACCTTTGGCTTGGCTTTTGGGGAGGGGGGCTTTGGGCTTGGGGGGGCTGGGGGGTGGGCTGTGCAGCATGAGGATTTAATGGGAACATGTCGTCAGCACATCTGAATGATCTGAATGCCTGTTTCTCTTTGCGGCAAATGGTGAAAAAAACGGCGAAGTTGGCCGGGGGGGTGGTCGGCTGGGGATCGTGGGCCTCCGTGGCAGTTTTGGACTCTGTCGGCGGCCGGCGTTGAAGCCAAGAGGCCGGACTCGGAAGCAAGGCAGCGGCGGCTGGCGCGGCCGTCGGTGGCGATGCTCCTCTGCGGCTTTTGGCGTGCCCGCCAACCGCGGGCCCGAGCGCTTTTTTCCCAGTTTTAAACTCATTTTTTCCCACCAATTGCCATAATGGCGCCAAAAAATTCAAATCCACCAGTGCATTGAGGCCAAACCCAGCCAGTTCCAGGTCCACCACAAGAGCCCCTTGGCCCCCTGGCCACCGCCGGAGTATCTCGTCGCGCCGTGCGCGCGTTTGTCCCACTTCCGTTTGCGACTGCCACGCTCCGCCCGTCGCCTCCCCGAAGCCCAATCGTCGCAGAACGGACGAGCGCGCGGTTTTTGTGCCGGCCAACCCAGCGGAAGGCACAGATTGGCGCCGTGTCGATGCGTTCGCGCGGGGCCTGGCGTACTGCCGCCCAGATGTGACGATCGATTTGTAACTGTGGGTTTGTTGCAGCCTCGCTGTGCGGGGCTTGGTGCAGCCAACGTTTTGACGGCCCTTTCAAAGTCGAGAGGACAAGTCCGGAAACAACTGGCGCATTCGGTGACGAGATTCGGCGAGGCGGCGTCGCCGGGTGGCCCGTGGACCATCTGCTTTTCAGCTGTCCGAACGCTCTCTCTGCTCCTCTTCCAACGTGTTGGAGAGCTTTGTTGACGGAGACAGCGTCTTGCCCAAATATGGTTGTTGTCGAAAACCAACTTGACTGCATCTGCAGAATTCTGGGAAGGCGGCTGCACTCACGCTTGTTTGGCGCTGGCGCTCTTGCGTTATTCCAGCAAGCTTCGATCCCCGTCGCGGCTGTGTCCATTTTGCTGACCGTTGGCCCACGTGCAACTGGCCTCAACCAGGATGTCCACAGACTTCCCAACTGTAACGGCACTGTTGTCACATAATTACTTTGGAAAAACAAACAGCTTTCTGGGATTTGCTGAAGTGGCCTTCGGCCTGCCACAGCAATACATTTTCGTGTCAAGTTGGAAGAACTACACAGAATTCATCATTGCAAGAGGTAGCCTGCCGCAAGGGGTCTCTGCAACAGCATGGACACGTTGCACATAGCGAGACCCCTCGTCTTGGGGCTTGTATTATCGTTATCATCTTGCCAATATGCATAAATGATTGCAAATGCCTCCCAAGTGATGAAGGAATCGCCTGCAGGGTGCATGGGCGCTGCTTTGTCTTTCAAAAGGCATTGTACGCAGAGCTGTGGGGGAGCGGGAATCGTGGTGAGCAGAACCATGATCTATAAACATTGAAGAAACAGCGCTTGAATGTTACTGCAGCGGCCATTTGCCTGGGAGGTGCAAGGGCCTTGTTTTCATGGCGTGGTACCAGACGTCACCCTTGCAATTCCAAGCAACAGCAAAGAAGCATCAAGGATGTGGTGTACCTGCAAGACAGTTGACTTATAAATAGGAAGGAAAGTTCGTTCACAGAAAGGGCATCCCCTCCCTGAGCAAGATAATGTGAGACCTCATCCACACTGGGAAAGATGAAGTAGCCGTCTCAGAGTGTAGCTTGACAAACACACCAGGAGATAGCATTTGATCCATCTTCGTTGCAGCGAACGGATGCTCCTGCATTAAATGATGTGTGGCTCATAGGCCACCTCCGAACTCATGCAGGGAATCGAAGAGTTTGCCAGCCCCGCCTTCACTGTGGGTTTGCCTCCAGGACCTGTACAGGGAATTCCAAACAACCTGAACGGCGGCTCATGGTCAGGATCAGACGTCATACGGAAACCGTGATTCTTTAGGCACCCTTGCTGAAAAGTAGCACTTCGGGCGTGGCTCAGCATTCGCCATGTTTTTTGGCAGCCAGTGGCATGTGACAAATTTCAAGCATATCCGCTGCAAGAGCACTTTTTTGCAAAGTATATGCGAGAGTATGCCCGCACATACATGAATGCAGAAAGCACAATGCTCCAACACTTGGGAGCATAGCTGCAAGTTCGCAACAATAAACACACACGTTAGTTATGCTGCTGGGGATTTTGTCAGCAAAAGCCACCAGTGTTTGAGAACATGGCGTGTCGAACGAACAACACATTGGAAAGAATAACGGAACTGTAGTGTTCTGCATCGCATGCTCGGCAACGTGAAATACGTGTTAGATAATTGTGTTTTCTTGCATATTAAAACAATTAACACTCTGGGATTCGTCTTTGACGCGTTGCTCCAGCTTTCCGCGAAGTCCGCTGCCGTGTTGTCCCGTGCTTCCGGCGTTTATTGTCCATTCCACAAAAATTCCGGCCGTGCGAGTACGTCTCTGCCAATCCAAATCGACTGATAATGGCTGCACACGGACAGTCTGATGTGTATGTTTGAATCCATAGTCGGCCCATCTCCCACATCTCACCAATCCTCTGCACAGGAGACATTCTCCTTGAAATGCCGTCACATCTGTCCCAACGCATGAACACACTTTCAAAGATGCCATACGGACGGCAGCCCCACGGACGTCTCAACAGACGTCGCGCGGACGTTATCCATGCTGACGCGGCAGTGTGCGGTCAAAGGCAGTTAGCCTCCCGCCCAGCAGCTCATTTGCCGAGGCGACAAACGCTGCGAGACACTGCAACGCGGACCGGCCGGCCGTCGCCATCGAGACGCACTTTGAAGCGTGGTCCCCGAGGCGCAGCGGCTGGCAGGCGGACATCAACCGCATCCCTGCCCCCAGTCGTTTCCTCGCTCTCAGAGCTTGCCCCTTCGGCTCCCTCCACTGTCCTCTTGGCCGCCACCAAAGGACGCCGGCAGCGAGCAGGGAGCAGGCGGAGGCAGCCATGACCTTCCACTTTTACCGAGACTACGTGGGTACCCCCCGCCCCCCGCCCCTTCGCTGCCCTCCCATCCCAGATGTCAGTTTTTGCCAACCGGTCGCGTGGCTGCTCTTGTGTCCCAGATGGCCCAGAGCTTCGTCACGTTCTACAGCACGGCCATGGCGATGGACCTGCGGTGCCTCTGGAGGCTGTACGTGGGACCCGACTCTTGCGGAAAGGCGAGCGCCCAGTGGGTGCGCGGTGCCAAGCGCTCGGAGGCCACGGCGCAGGTGAGCTGCGTGGCTGGCGTTACGAGCGGTTACGCGGCGTAGATTACGCCCTCCGGCGAGCGCAGGGGAGGAATCGTCGCGCCAACGCTGGCCGAAAGCACCGTTTTGGCGATGTGCCAACTGCGATTCCAGTTTGACAACAAGCGGCTCCATTCCAGTGATTGCGAGGGCATCCGAACTAGCTGTGATGGCATCAACAAGTGCCAAATAGCGTCCCCGTCGGCATCGGTAGAACGTCATTTCTTGTTGGTCCAGGGCGCCCTGTGATTCTCAGGGCGCCTCGCTGTTGTGGGCGCACTACGTAGTATACTGCCCCGACTGTCAACTTTCGCTGGTGGCACAAGGGGCAGCTCCCCTTCGCGGAACCACCCCAGTACTGGGGGTGCTGGCCATTTTGCCGCTGGAAAATTTTGAGTCGGGCCACGGTTGAGTTTACAGGATTTCGAATATGTGAAGGAAGTTCAAGATGGAAATGCACGATGATAATGAGTCACGACAAAGCAATGCAAGATGAGAATGGACCTTCATTCACTCGCTACACAGTTCACGTTCGTAAAAGCTGGCTATCTGTGACTCAACCCATTCGAAGTTGTCAACGCATTACGCAATGTGTCGGCAATTGTGTGCAACGCATACATGTGCACCGCATACTGACAAACGAGCTGGCCATCCCACGCCCATAATTCTGAGCACATATACCCACCCACCCGCCAACCCAAACGCCAGATTGGATGTATGAAATGGCCGATTGGCCAGTAATTCCATCTCCTCCATGATTGTTTCCATGCCTGCGTGCCAGGAACGTGATTTGTTCCCACCGAACACAATGGAGGGCAACAGGGAATGAGTTTTATTGCTCCGTTTTGTTCATCTATTACGTGTGAATTGAACTATTGGTCTACTTTATGACGGGCGATGTGACCAGGGGGTATATATGCTACTTGGTCAAACTCTGTATGGGGTTGGGGGCGTTCAAGTCGACGACTGCGAATCCACCTGGCTGGAGCTTGGACGGAAGCTTCGCGTCACTTTCGGAGGGAGGCTGGATTGGGTGAGCCTTGGGACGATTGATCACAAAAAATACGTGACATCAATGTGGTTGACAGCAACTTCTCTTTAATGGACCAAAACCAGCCTGACACTGGATTCCCATGTAGGCGCGGGGAATTTTCACAGACGACATGATGCAGTTATAAGCTGACAGAAATTTGTACCGTCATCGATACAGACCATAAGTTGGGAAACACATAACGCATTTGTAAAGTTTTCGGTGCGATGCAAAAGTACCAGCACATGTACATGTCAATTAATTGGTGGAGAATGAGACCATCGATTGGAATTGAACAGCAACACTTGTAAGCAGCGCAGGTTTGGGGGAGGCATGAGAAGCTGCGCTGTTCAGTGGCGCACGAGAGTCTAATGATTAGGAGATTGCATTTGGAGCCAAAATGATGACAATGTTGACTGGCGAAAATAGGTTGGGGATCAAAATCTAACTACAAATCGTACTTAAAAGGGACTCCTGTCATCCTTTGTGCGCACAACACATGTTCTTAGCAGCATGCCTGCAGCGAAGAAACAGATCCCTAATCTTTCTTCACTGTTCAAATGAGGGCCAGTTTGGCTCGAAATTCTTGCAAAACATTGCACATCCCAAATTTGGATGGCGCCAGTAAGGGAGAATCCACTTTGTTTTAATGACATTATCCAAATCTGTGCTCCTAGCAGTGTTTTCGATGACCAAAATCTTTGAATTTCTGGTGGTGCGTATATGCGGCTTGTGCTTGCCGTACATATGGTCTGCAATACGGGCGCAAAATTGCAACTCAGAACCGGTTGAAAAGCTTGTAACGGATGTGCCAAAGCTTAGTGAGTTTTTCCGGCGCTGTGAACTTTCCATGTGCCACGTTGCGTAGGTCAGTGGCGCCAGCAATGTCTACGAAATTTCGGCAACGCTCGTCCTCTACAGCTCCTACAGCTATTACATCGAGGAGTCGACCATGAAAATCTATCCTGAGCACTACGTGGTGGACGTGGAGCATGAACCCCAGCATCAGGGTCCGGTGAAAAACAAGGTGAGAAGAAAAATTGCCACAACGTGCAAAACTGAATCATTCATATTAACACATATTTGGCATTAAATAGTGTTCGAATTTACGGCTTCATTTTGCAGTCCGGTTGTAAAGTCGTTAAAGGCCTCAACATAGCTTTTTAGTGCCTAACACTTCTTCACATTACTGTTGTAAGCAACAACTCTGGAATGTTGACATTAAATGTCTAATTTTGTCAAGTGCAATGGAGAATATCGCCACGATATGACACCGTTTCAGGTGCTTCCATTGGTGCTTCGATTAGTGCCATGAGAGTGATCTATGTCATATGCGACATTGAGATAATAGTTTTTGAAGTAGACCGTGACGTAATATGGCGAGAACCCAGACACATTTTGGTCTTAGCCAGGTAGAAGAACAGTCGGCTTCAAAACTGGATCTTCACCAATCGAATTGCTGCTCATGTGCCTTGCCACCATAGCATCATATGTGATATGAAGTATTCGCTGATGAGGGTGATATTTTACTATATAATCAATTGCCTTGACATACAATTTGTGAGACAATAAATCGATAAGAAAGCACGGATTTACAGCTCCAAAATATTTGCGTTTTAGATATTAAAACTGCCGTTTCTTTGCTGCACAGAATCGCAAGTCATCTCTGATTCCCCACGCATCCCTGGACACACAAACCTTGTCGGACTTCACGATCCCCGCCGGCAGGGTCAGCGATGACTGCTCACTTCCTGACAACGGCGGATCGTTCGATCCCGATACGCTGAAGTCGGGATGGCAGGCAGATGACGCAATGGGGGAATATTCTCCCGCAAAGTGGGAATCCAAGGACGCCAACCCCAGTGTATGGTACACATAGGCCGTATATGTACCACAATATACGCCATGGCACCTATATTCTAAGTGCCATGAGCGGTGGAGCCAGAGCTCAGCCAGATCGGGGGCTTTTCGGGCTCTAGGATCCGGGCCACTGATTGCCCTAAAATGAAAAGGAACGCGTTTTTTTTGCAGTTGCGGCAACAAGCTCCACCGCCATGTCTGCAGCTGGGAGCCTGTGAATCATCTTCCAGGGGATCGGACGAAATGCCGTGCATCGAAGCGTGTCCAGAGCCATTGGCTGCATGCTCGCTATTGAGTTCGTCGTTGTTCGTGTTGTTGCGCCACTTAATGAGTGACGCACTACCGATATATGCATCGGCATACTGCATGAAGACGGCCCGCAGCAATGGCGCTTTATCGCGCAGCCATTTGCCATGTGCATGAGCGCAAGGCCCGCTTGAGGAAGCCCTTCCTGAGGCGGGCCTTGTACCCATTCGGATGCCGCGGACCTCGTCCCTTGAGCTCCACCCGACGGTAGATGCGATCGCTCCAGGATGTGGGAACTTTTCAAACCACCTTGGTTACAATTGATTCAGCATACAGTCGATAAATGGGCTTCAGGTAAACACAGATCCGTTTGCCTCACTCATGTACCCTTCTTGTCGCATTCACCACTAACAAAAGGGGCCAAAATACAGGCAGAATACACGTTCTGTTAATCGTGTTGCGCGCAACACGATTGAGAATGGTGTCGAAACTGTGTTAGAACCGTGTGGTTATTGTGCTTTTATTGTATAGAAATGGTACCAAACCGTGTGCTAACGATCGAGTGGGTGTACATGAGTTTTACACATCTTGGCACGGTTTTGCGCGATTTTCACACCGTTCGAAGCACCGTTCGAAAGTGTTTTGGCCGATCTTTTACTAGTGGATGTCAGCGGCGTTGTCGGCCAAGCCCGAAGTTCTGCGTAAGCGCTGCTGCGGGCCAACGCTCATGAGTCACTGCGATCTGGCATACTCAGTGAGCATATATGCAGGGTCATCATAGCGCTGTGGTGACGCTGGCGAAAGCCAACACCCCATTTTCTGGACATTCCGTATTGGGATGGTCATCGCGCTGCCAAGCTTCAGGCAATGCAGCGGAGACGCTGACACCATTTAACGACAATAAAGGAAGAAGAAACTTTGCTTGGATCAAATTCCTGACCACCTTGCTGATCTCTCTCCGAATGCGTAGATTCGCAAAGTATTTGCACGCACATGGAACTGGTAAAATAAATTTACTAACATTAGGGAAGGCGCTACGTCAATTTTGTTTTAGCATCAATTTTACGTTAAAATAAGACCCCACACCCCCACACCCCGCGCCCCAGCGTCAATCCTTGGGTCGATGCAAGGATGACTCAGAAACATTACATGGCTGTGTTACGCAGCTTCTAGGTGGTTTTAAGGAGAAAACTAGTCAAAGTTTTGCTGATTTCAGCGGGTTGAAAAACGGGATTCTAAATGCCATTGTAGGTGAAGCGAGCGGCCTTAGTGGCTGAAAATTCACCCATTCCAAGGCATCATTTGCAGATCAAACACTCGCAAGAGGTTCAGGAACAATACGCGGGGTGTTTGCCACTTATCGGTGGCGCTTTTGGGTACCCTCCCTTCTCATGTTGGTTCTGTGTCAAGTACATAATCTTTTAGCCTCACAGGTCTGAACACCCCATCCCATAGCGTCTATTTTGACGCTAACCGTAACAAATTCGACAAAGTGTCTTCCCTTCGTTATTGCGTTTGGATCCTAGTATACTCACATTGAATTACAAGGTCAATTATGTAGACTAAGTGAGCCGATTTAAAAGAGCACAAAAAGATTCATCACATTAAGAGATTGCAGTAAGTTGTAGATGGAGAACCCCAAAACCGTAGTTGCGAAGTGCGGATGGTCTTTCAACAGATGGCCTGCGGGCCATGGGCCACCTCCACAATCTTGGAGGTTGGGTGCAATTGCCAAATTCGGCTTGGGTTTGCCTCCTGTACGAGGAATTCCAAGCATTGCGTGAGGTTGACAATCTCAACACCGGCTTGTGGACTGGGATCAGACAAAAGCCGTAACTGCGAACGATAAGGCTGCCTGGATGCAGGTATCTCTCCGCTCACGACCAGCATTCTCAGAGTTCTCGACGGCCAATAGCAGGCCCAAATCCGATGTATCGCCGTAGCAGGAAGCACTATATTTTTTTGCTGAAAGCATGCAAAAAGCTTCAAGAAGTAGGAGCATAAACACAGAATCAAAACGTTCTAATATTTGGGAGCAGCAGCGAGATGCCGACATTGTCCATATATGGACGCGTATATACCTGTACGTACGTGGATACACGCATCAGCAAGTACAATCATCCAATTTTGCGAACATCGTGATTTAATTTCGCAATACGTTGGGAAGAACAACACCCTTGTGGTGTGCTGCATGTGGTGTTACGAAAAGGTTATATTTGATTGAGCATGCTCGGTTGCCACATATTGGAAAGTTCCAATTGACGTTGCAATTATTTCCACCATGTGATTCGTCCCTGGTGCACCTTTTGCGTTTGCAGGAAATGCTTTGCGGCGGCCCTTAATGACTGCGGCATTAAAGGACCATTCCAAGCAGGCTTGTTTTTACGCCGTAAAAACTGATCGTACTTACGTTTGCACGCATAAAAATACGTTTTTACCTTTTTGCCTGTAAAATGCGTAAAAATACGTAAATACAACGTAAAAACTGCCCGGTGTACATAAGGAAAGTAAATACAGACTTACGAGTCCGGAGAGTGGCAGCCAGACGCCCTGAAAGGGGCAGAAAACGAGTTTCTGTTGAACGCCATTGTCGCCCTTGCCAAGGGCGAAGTTGACATTGTGTTGCGGGTGTTGGAGATGGTGGAGGACTGATCATTGTACGCAGCTTTCATCGTGTAGCCTGGGTGTCGCAGGGATCCACAAAAACGTAAAAGTAGCCGTGGAAATGGGGCATTTTGCAAATTTACGTTTTTGCACGTAAAAACGTAAACGTAAAAACCAAGCCTGATTCCGATAAGTTGCGCCTGCCAACATGTCTCTAACATGTCCAGGTCCATTGATTCTGGCTGAATGGTCTGAGATGACTTGATTCCAGAATCTGCCTGTTTTCCATTTCTCACCTATCCCGTGGACAGGAAATATTCCGCTTCAAATGCCACCATATCATTGGCAACACATGTAGTACTGCTTGAGTGAGAAGTACCTCTGAAGACGCCATAGGCCCGTTCGACCTACGGACGTCTCAATAGACGTCGCGCACAAGTTATATAAGCTGAAATGGTGGCGTGTGGTCAAAGGCAGTTGGCTTCTCGCCCAGCTGCTCCAGCGCGCCGGTGACAAGTACTGTGAGACGCAGCAACGTGGAGCGGCCGGCCGTTACAATCAAGACATACTTTGTTGCGTGGGACTCCAGGCGAAGCGGCTGGCAGGAGCACATCAGCTGAATCCTTGCAGGCTTGGTATAACACTCGTGCTAATTAGCACGTGTGTCGCAGTGTAAATATGGCAGCGTGTACGCAAAATTATGGGTTTCGTTTCCTTGAAAAATCCTGTAAGCGCGTGTATACGTTGCGTCTAAACGATGTTTTGGCGCTATGTATGTCGACCTTCTTATGGGCTTTTAGAAATGCGGAGTCATTGCAGAACATTTTGCTTCTTGGGAAAATCCCTGACAAGGTGATGAACGTCGGTTCGGAAGCCTTCATAATTCTAAAATTTTAAATCTGAGAACTGGGCAAGTCTTTGAGTCAGTGATCACATCGAAACCACCGAATGCTAGCATTCAATGCGAAATAATAATCCAGCGTAACAGATATTATCGCCGCATTGTGGCACCGGTTTAAGTGCTGCCATTGGTTCATTGATCATATAACGTCGTTCTGGTGCTTAGTCTGTTTGCGCTGACTCAGGTACTACTTGACATTCTCCCAGGATGTCATATCGCCCCTGATTCCGCACAAATGCCTGGAGGCGCAAACCTTTTCCGACGGCCAGCCGTCTTTTTTGAAACAATGCCGGCGGGGATGGTGAAGTCCGATTCGGGCTTCACCACAGCCGGCAGGATCAACGACGACTGGTTAACGCCCATCAACGGTGGATCGCAGGCTGGATGTTTACGTTTACGCCTACGTTTTTGCATTTACGTTTTCACGCGCAAAATGTAAAAATTATTTTTACGCCAGCAAACGCAAATACGATTTGTGTTTGCTGCGCCAATACCGAGCCTGGTGGATCTCTCGATCGTGACACACAGAAGCCGGGGTGGCAGCTGCCATCACCACTATGTTGTAATTGCACTGCAGCTACGGCGTGTCAGGAATTCCTTTTCGAGGGTTTCACTAGCTGTTTCACCGGCGTTGAAGAATCTAGTACATTGGGGCTCAAGGACCCTACGTACTTTACGTAGCTTCTGGCTTTTTCACGGTTTTTTAGGGTATTTCTCAGGGCGTGCGGGTGCGGGGCGCAAGTGCTTTGGGGGAAGTGCTCACTGCGCCTGTTGCCTGAAGGGCTGCCCCCGACTTGAGACGCGCCCGTCTTTGAGAGGCGGCTGGCGCCTTGAGGCCTCCAGTGCGCGTGCGCGATGTCCTTGGAGATCGAGGCCGCAGAGTGAGTCGGGCAACAGGGGCAAATGGGCCGCTGTAGGCTCCGTGCACCCCCATTCGCCAGTGCATGACCCGTGCACCTTGTCGCGGCGCTGCAGTGTGATCAAGATCATCCTGCAGTTCTGCAAGGAGTCGGGGCTCCTGGCGTCCTTTGATGCCATTCAGGTGCGCCGTCCTGCCCCGCGTCGCGTGGGCTTTGCGGCTGGTTTCTGGCAAAGCGGAGATGGAGGTGCACGGAGATGTTCGTATGAGTTTGGACGCGTGCGGCTATCCGTTCGGTGGCTCAGCGAACTGAGGATTGGGAAGCGTTTGTGCGGCCAGTGGATGCGACACATGCCGGGCAAAGCAAACTGCAGAACTGCTGGAATTGTATGTTGGGAGCGGTAGTGTTGTCCCCATCGAATCCTTCCATTCCACCATGTTTCGCTGGCCCGCCACTGAGATTACCAGTCTCGTGGAACCCCTCAGATGGATGTGCTGGAACCTGGGACGCGTTAGTGCCATTGCCAGCTGTCCTGGTGTCCAATCTCGCTGTTGTGTATTGTCATGTCTGATTCCCAAATCAGCCGTCTCGAACGGGCGCGGAGTTAACTGGACTCTCAATGTGGTCGTTTTGACGCCACAAAATGTGCAACATCGCAACTGGATCAAGAGTATTTCAAACTATCCAAGGCTGGAGCAGGTTTGGGTGTCTTGGGTACTTGTTGCGTATGTTCAATGCGTTCAAATCCCTTTTCGTTGCGGTGTGTGGCCCCTTCTAGGAATAAGATTCCTGTGGACTGTGGATTCAAGGCAGAATCGCTAGCATGGAAATCACACTTCCATATTATTTAGTTCACCCATTATCGTTGGCTTGAACCATACCACCGGCAAGCCGTGTCGAGGAAGGAGGCCACTACAGGCCATTCAGGGAGAATTTCAAGCATTCCGAAAAGTGTTCACATGGCCAGCATCCACCCCACATCTCCTCTGGATGGACTTCATATTCGCGCTGTAAGCTGAAACTGCAAGGGCTTGAAAATGCAGGCTCATCAATAGTTAGGTTCTGGGACTCAGGGTGCGCTGTTGAAGAGATTCCGACTTTCAGCAGCAACCCTATTGTCACAGCAAAAGGCTGCAGCATTAAATGGATGCCCTTTGTGTGGACTGCAGAATGAATGCCAGGTCTCGCTCAACACAGTTGACAGCATTGAGACCTTCGTCTCTGATGTGAATAATGGCAGATGGGATGCAGTGTTGCCAGTGGTCACTCAGCTGAAGCTGCCCCGCAGCAAACTGGAGGACCTGTATGAATTGGTGCGCTCTTTTTTTTCTTTTGGCAGAAGTTTTGTTGCATTCACGTGTTCTGGTGCAGCCTGCGCCAAGCAAAAGGTGTACAGATTAGGCATGGATCGTTTGGTGTGCCCAATCGACTGGTTTAATTCAGTCTGATTTGCAGAATCCCATGTGCAAGTCAGCCGATGTGGCATCGACAAAGCTGAGTCGGCAGCTGGGAACCTGCTGAATGGGATGCACCTTCATGATAGAGCACAGTACTGCCACACAGTTGATCTTGCAGGTTGATACTGATGGAGGTCTGCTTGTTCCTGGCTGTCACTTGAAGAACATGGGCATGAGTGAATCCATGGACTTGAGCACAACCTAGTTTTGGTGTGATTGCTATGGCAGGCCACCAGAGATGTCTGTGCTGCACAGGCAGCAGAGGCAGCTGCTATGACGCTTCTCAAACATTTTGTGCAGCACTGCACATGTTCACATGCCAACAGGTTCTTTCACATGCATGAACATTCCCCACCCTCCCTGTGCTAAGGATTCATATGCCTAGAGTGCCACCGAGTCCCAAACTCTGGTAAATCGAGCCTTACCTTACTTTGTGCTTACAGCTGCAACACTGTCTGGATCAATGTGTGACTGTTTGGCATCTTTCCTTGCTGTGCTTTCTGCAGGTTGTCCTTGAAATGATAGAGTTGCGTGAGATCGACACAGCACGGGCCATGTTGAGGCAGACGCAGGTGCAGCGCAGCGTGTCAAGGTCCTTGACCCGATTCCATAGTCTGCACTGTACGTACATTGCTCAGCATACTTAGGGAGATGGTGTGCTTCCAAGGGCATTAAAATCACTCAGGGAACAAGTGGAGGAAAACTTTACAGCAGGCTGTCTGAGTAGGAACTTAGCAGCCTCTGTGCCCAGTCATGAACTCGGCAAACTCAGAGCTTGCCCATGTGGGCATCATCGATTGGACAGGAACAAAATGGCTTCACTGCTACGCTCTTGCATGTGATTATTGCTGAGAACTGCTGGAATGACACAATATGCACAAACTGGGAGTTTGCACGACGTTTAATAGACAGGTCTTTTGTAAGCTGGGATATCATAATAAAAGACTGCTAGGGCCTCAAAACTGCGAACCTGGTGTCTGAACAAAGATTTGGGCACATGTAGTCTAATTCGATGTTATCCTGGTGATGCAATGGCTGCTTGGCGTGGATCTTAGGTCTTTCAAAGGATGAAGAGGGACAATCCTGAGCGCTACATGCGGCTGGAGCAGCTCTGTGGCCGGACGTACTTTGACATACGTGAGGTTTATGGCGGGACTTCTAAAGAGAAGAGAAGGGGTCAAATTGCACACTCCCTGTCACAAGAAGTCACCATGGTTCCTCCGTCAAGGCTAATGGACCTCATTGGGCAGGCTTTGAAATGGTGTGGATTGTGTTGTTGCCTTTGCTGTTATCCTGTGCCTTGATGTTATGTTTTGTGGTAGCAACTCAGGGATGTGCCGCATTTTGAGTTCCCGAACCCGAGGTGAATTGCAAACCTGCATTTCAGGAGCATAATTCACTGTCCAAGTGTGTCAGACACACTGTTGAAGTCGCTCACTGCACTTGGGCCCTTGGCCACCAGGACTCGAAGAGCTGCACTCCAATTGGGATTCCCAAGTCGTGGTGCTGCACTGGGCTATCATTCCCAGCATGTATCAAATCGTCAGATATCATCACAGTGTTCCATCTATTCATTTTGACAGATAGATTTTTTTAACTCGCTTTGGCAGTCACAACAGATGCCGATTTTTGCCAGTGCAGTTTCCAAATCCACCGATTTTCCTCTCTTGATCTCTTTCATGGAAGCTCGTGCCCCCCTTGACTTTTGTTGTGGTCTCAGGCAACAGCACCAGGGTCTCCTCCCGGCGGGCACAGCGTTTGACTTGTTCCGTGGGACTGCCCAGGGCCAGCGAGACGAGGTGGAGAGCTTTCCTGTGGCGATGGAACGTGAGGTGAAGGTGCCCAAGGCCTACCACCATGAGTGTGCACGCTTCTCGCCTGATGGACAGATGATTGCCACTGGCAGCACAGATGGCATTATAGAGATCTGGGACCTGGTGTCAGGCAAGGTCAAGAAGGACCTGCAGTACCAGGCAGACAACAATTTCATGCTGCAGGACAGCGCAGTGCTGTGCATGGACTTCACGAGGGACAGTGAGCTGTTGGTTACGGGTGGGTGGGCCATTCAAGCCATGCTAGAGCTGTGTCTGGAAAAGACATTCTGTTGGATTGTACTTAGAAATGAAGGCATTAGTTAATATATGTTGGCTGTGTTGATTTGGCTGCCTTTGTGGATGGAGTTTGCACTGCTGAGGATTTCTTGTGTGGATGGACGATTCTTCCAAAACAAAATGGGAACATGAGTCAAAAATGTCCACAGCTTGGGCAGACAATAGCCCACCTGGGTTCTAGTTGGTTGAATTGTTCATTAGTCATCTGCTGTCAAAATACAACTAAGTGTTGCCATTCGTTTCAAGCGATTGCACTGAGACTATTGGCTGCATTTGTTCCATTTGCACACGTTCTGAGGTGGCCAACACATCTGTTTCTATCAATTTGGCAGCTGCTTGCTCACCTGGAGCGAGTTCATGGATGAATCATTGCAAACAATATGGCCAGTTTATCATGTTCCGCATTGTTTCTCTGCCCGCGATGATGGGACAGTCCTAGACTGTTGATGCACAGTGACGCTAGGTTCAGAAGTCTGCTGCTCTGCAAAGGGACAGAACATAGCACAAACTCTTACAAGTTTCACTTGGGTAGTTCAATGGGATTCATGCATACCCCAGACCCTCCAGCTTTGGATTATAATCCAGCGGCAAGGATTGAAAGTTATGCTTGCTAGTTGACTTCAATATCAGTGTGCAGTCTGCAACAGAATTACAACCATTCCAACAGTTGTGATGGTTTGGCATGTGGAAACTGGTCTGCCTCTGGGTGTGGCCATCTCTGCATGATTGCTGCTGCTCGAGTACAGAACTGGGGACTGTCACACACATCAGGAGGAAGGGAGGCGATCTTGTGCTCTTCATTTGAATTGGGGTGTTGACAACATCATTGGGAGAGATGGTGGCAATGCATTAGCCAGTTCACATGTATCGCTGTGGTGTGCCAGCCTCTCAATGTCCCATGGATATCGTCAGCATTATCACCATCGACAACTCTCATTCAAGATGGAAGCTGTGATCTCTTGTACCTGACTGGCCGCATACAAGTTACCACTGCCAGATCACCGCATTTAGCAACAACCAGTTGTATATTGTGATAGATTTTGTTCAAAGTATGAGACACATGGCATGCGTCGCATGCACAGTTGCCCTGCACACATGAGAAGGCTGCTGGTGTCGTGGAAATTTTCATCCGTTGACCATCCTTTAGCACAGTATGCAGAAAGGCAGTATGAGGCGATCCTGGACTTGAGGTGACAAATATTGTGGCTGTGTAAGTGCCCTTCAGCACCCGCAAGGCTAAGGGCCCTTAAACTTGGCCTTGAGCCAATGTACACATTCAAAGTGATTCTGCAGTTCTCTGCAGTTGTGCATCGAAGGGGAGTTTCCTTGCTGACAGTTGTGCAAGACATAAGACCTTGCAAATGGAAATCTAACAACAAAAACACCAATAGCGAAACAAGGACAAAGTGTCACTAACGATCATTATGGCTACTGTATGCTGTTGCATTTGTGCTTACATTTGTATCTTGTACATTTGCAACACTGTCTTCTACAAGTACTGAAGCGCTTCAGGTCACATGCATGTGCACAGGGGCCAACAACGGCCAACTCAAGGTGTGGAGGATCCGAACAGGCCAATGCCTGAAGCGCATTGACCGGGCACATGCCCAGGGCGTCACAAGCGCCACTTTCTCCAGAGACGGAAGCCATGTTCTCAGTGGATCTTTTGACGGCATCGTGCGGGTGCACGGCCTCAAGTCTGGCAAGACGCTCAAGGAGTTCAGAGGCCACACCTCATTCGTGAATGATGCCATCTACTCCGCAGATGGCAGCCAAGTCATAAGCGCTTCCAGCGATGCGACGGTGCGCATCTGGGACTCAAAGAGCTGTGAGTGCATCCGGGCTTTCAGGTGAGCTGATGGTTTGGCCATTGTTGCCTTGCATGCGCTAGCGCAGTGGTGGGCCAGGCCATGACGAAAGCACCCACATAGATTTTGGTGAGCTGACGACTGCAGCTCAATTTCTTTGTTTGTGAGCCCCTGGTTGGCGCGTTGCTATTGATCAGTTCTCTCGGACGTGCAGCGCTCGATAGCAGAAGATTCCTGACCCATTCTGACCACAATGGCATTGGTTGACTAGCTCCTAAGCCCATGCCAGGCAGCCCCAGACAATGCAACAGTGCTGCAAGGTGGCTCCATTAACGGCCTTCGGGACTGCAGCAAACGAGTCAGTGGAAAGTACTGGCGTCACATGAGAGTGTGCACATATGTGACATTGTGGAAATGAAACTTGGAGCAGCATGCTGGCCCCAAGCACTGAAATTGTGCATCGTTTGACACAGCAGCGAACTCCAGTGAATTTGCATGGGCTTTGCCATCTGTGTCTCGCATCACTGGTACAAGGGTGTCTGTTGCGTCTCAGGATTGTGATTTACCTGCTGAGTTGCTTCCTTGCAGGCCGCCACAGTCTATCAGCGGCGAAGTGCCAGTGAACACGGTGCACCTTTTTCCTCAGAACGTGGACCAAACTGTTGTGTGCAATCGGACGTCCATGGTGTTCGTGGTCACCTCCGATGGCTCGGTGGCCAAGACTTTCCAGTCTGGAAAGCGCGAGGGGGGCGACTTCCTGGCAGCATGCGTGTCGCCACATGGCGATTGGATCTACTGCCTTGCTGAAGACAGCAACCTGTACTGCTTCAGTGTATCTACAGGGAAGCTGGAGAATATACTGCAGGTGGGCAGCGCGAAGTAAGGGAGGCCTCGGAGCTCCACCATCAAACATCTCCCTTGTGCATGTTGTCAATAGTCGATGTTGCTTGTAGCACAGAGCACGCTGGTTTATGTGCCAGCGCTCTTCATTTCCAGAGATTTTCCGTCGCTCATTTATTTGGATTGCTTCTGTCTGTTTATTATTGCAGATAGTGAGGTAGTTTCGATGAATAGTTGGCTTCACAGCATGTAATGGCCTATCGGTAAAGTAAGTTCAGTATTGATTTCTTGTTGGTCGCTCCCGAATGGTGCCAAGCCAACGCTTGCAGATCTGGTTATCATGGGCTGTTCCCATAATTCACAACTCTGGGTATAGTTAAATTCCAGTCCTTGTATTGTCAGGAAGCTATTTCGTGCATCGGTTCGTTTGACATCTACCACACTTTGCTTCCTAAACCTTACCTTGCTAAGCTTGAGTTTTGGTTGCATTTGCTCACCAGGTCCATGACAAGGGTGCCATCGGTCTGTGCCATCACCCCCATCGGAATTTGATCGCCACTTTTTCCGAGGAAGGCGAACTGCGATTTTGGAAAGCGTGAGGAATGCCACCAGCGGGGGGGGGTTGGGTTGCGCTTGGCTGTGCACAAAAGCATGAGGAGTGCCGCTGCCAAGGATTGGTTGGGCCGGCCTTGGCTGTGTCAATGCCATTATCTGTTGTGCAGAGCAATGGCCCGAAACCTGGGAAGCACCGATCAGTACTCTACTCCACGACGCCTTAGCCTGGCAGTGGTAGCAAATCCGTATCAAGACCTCTTCAATGTGTACCAAAGCTCACAGTGTCTGTGTTGCGAGCAACTGCTGACGCCCCCTGCACATCGGAACAGTACGTCGTGAGGGTGTTCGGAGCCTGGCTGTATTCGTTGCGAGCAAGGCAGCTGCCCTTGTAGTGCCCTTGACCTCCTGCTGTATGTGCCTGTGGCCTTTGTTGCCTTCCAGCTGCCTTCCAGATGTGGCTGTGTTACCACCCTTGATAACCCTGATGGAGAAGGACATTTTGTCACAAGAAACTGGTAGCGGCCAGCCTGTCCCGGAATTTCGCACCACCCTGCACATGCAAGTGCAACACGTCTGAAACAATGATTACCAAGAAGACAGATCGCAGTGGAAGAAGCACCAAAGCACGCACGTACTGCCGCCGATGCCCACAGTGCCCCCTGCACGAAACATGAGACCCGCGGACTCGTTAGAGGTCACTGGCACCACCAAGTTCATTAAGACCCTAAAGCAAATGCTGATAAAGATACCAACCCCGCAAGCACACTTCAATGCTCCACCCGGCTTTCAAGCTGGAAACGATACCTCGTGATTTGCACCTTTGCATCACATTCGGCGTTTCGCATGGGCTGGCGCTTGCCAAAGGCGTCCATTGCAATGGAAAACGCTGCCATGCCTGCGCCCCACAAGCCCACCGCATTGAAATCGAAACGCGGAGGCCCTTCTCATCCACCACCCAAACTTGCCATTTCTGACACGAAGGCAGCTTCTGGGATCAGACACCAAGTTCGCGCGTTGTCACTTTTGCCCAAAAGGGGTCTTGCCAGCTGCCCCTCGGTTATTTCGGTCTTTGGGCAATCGGTACGGCGCCCGCCGTAACACCCCGGATGTCCGCCTGCGCCTGTCAATCAACCAGCCACAGCGCCCGCCGCGGTGCCCCCGGCCAGGCACATCACCCGGAGAGGGGTCAGGGAACGTCACAGGGAGATGGGCTGGGGCCGAAGCCTTACTGAATCAGTAAGCTCCCTGCAACGCCCCGCCGCTCGCTGCGCAGCCCCTGGGTGTCCAACCCCTGCAAAACGCCATGCAAATTACGGGCTACTGAACGCCCAACCAGCCGAACACCGGGTTGTACGGGATGTCCTCCTCGGCCAGCATCCCCTTTATTGATGCGCATGGCGCCGTGCGTGCGTCTCCCAGTCCGACTATGGTGGCCTTTGGGAATGTGTGGGCGCAGGCTGTCCGTGCGCCCAGCGACCCTCGTCCCAAGACAAGGGGCGCAAACGTGCCGACGGGGTGGGTGGGGGCCCAGGGAATCACGCCGATGACCTGAGCGCCCAGGGGGGACGGTGCGGCCACTGCAGGCGGGCGCGGCCGGGCAGGGCCGGGCCGGCGTGCGCGGGCGGGGGGAGCGATGGACGCGGAGCAGGGGGTCGTGGTGGCCGCCGCGGACGAGACGTTCGACCGGCTGGTGCGCGCCGCGGTGGGCTTCAGGGGCGATGGTGGCGGCGTGGCGCAGGCCGGGGACATGGACGCCTTCTTCGTGCTGTTCAGCGGCTACCTGGTGTTCTTCATGCAGTGCGGATTCTGCATGGTGCGCAGAGGCGCGGGGCGGGGGGGGGGGGAAGCCTCGGCGGGCCGAGTGCATTGCCTGATTTGTCAGCTTGCGCTTGTACCGGGGTGGGGCGGAGGGGAAGCGGGGCTGGGGACGGGGAGTTTTTGCGGGGCATCGACCCGATGGTGTTCTCCCTGACTGGGATTGTGCAATCGGGCATTCGGCAACCTTTCTCCGTCTCTTGGCGCTCAATTGATCGCAATGCCGCGGCGGGGGAGGCAGTGGGGAGCCGGCGGCCGCGTGGCTGTTGGGGCCGCTGAGTCGTTTTTGGAATTGTTGCGCCCCCGAGCAGCTGTGCGCGGGCTCCGTGCGCGGCAAGAACGCCAAGAACGTCATCCTGAAGAACCTGCTGGACACGTGCTTCGGGGCGCTGGGCTGGTACGTCATGGGCTACGGCCTGGCCTTCGGCGAGACGGCCAACGAGTTCCTTGGGGAGTCCAGCTTCGCTCTGCGCGACGTGCCCCACAGGGTTTACAGCAACTGGATGTTCCAGTACGCGGTGAGCATCTTGGGCGACTCGCCATCCCTCTCTCCGGACGCCGCTGCGCATCCCCATCCAACCGCCATGCTTTCTTTTGGCGATTCTCAGAGTAGAGATCATTACTCGGCTGCCCCGGGTGTCGTGCTGCATTGTCCATGCGATTGCCTTCGCCGCCTATCCGCTGCATATTTTCCGCCCCGGCTCCGCTGACGCCCGACTCCGGCCTTCCCTCCCCGCTCCTGCGCCAGTGCGCCTCACGGATTCCCAAATTGGAACTCCCAGCGACCGCTTCGCGACTCAATGGCGACCTGGCCCGCCGCGGGCTCCACCAGTCCAAAAATTTACCTCTGCTTTCCGGCGCTTCCAAGTTCCCGCGCATGCTTCTCGCCAGGCCCCCCACCGCGCCCACGCCCTCCGCTGGCCCTCACATCCCGCCTGTGCTTTCCGCCAGTTCGCGGCGACGGCCACCACGATCGTGTCTGGCGCCGTGGCCGAGCGCACCAAGTTCGAGGCCTACCTGGTGTACGCGTTCTTCCTGACGTCCTGGGTCTATCCCGTCGTCGCCCACTGGATATGGGCCCACACCGGCTGGCTGACGGCCTTCAAGGTGTTCAGCGCCGACCTCTTCAACGGTGAGTGTCGGCCGCCCGCTCCCCAGAGGCCGCGGGCTCTTTCCGTGGCGTCCAGGCCGCCCGGCGTGGGTGGGCGCTCCCTTGCGCCCATCAGCGTCGCGGCCGGGCTGCCGCTCCAAAGTGCGGGCAGAGCATGCGCCGAAGTGTACTGGACAACACTGGCCATGTGGCGCGTTGACCAGAACTATTGAGAGCATCTCGATTGGTTGGTGCTGTTTCACCGGCGGTACTGTACAGGCACGGTTCTCATTGGCAGCCGTGCCTCCTTAGTAAGGCGTCATTTGCCTAATAGCACCTGTGCTGCCCTACGCGCTTGCGTCATCCATGAGGTTGGGTCCTGTTGGCAAAGAACTTTGGGCAAGAACTTTGGGCATTTAGCATCAGGGCACCACAGCAATGTTCTGTGCGAACAGCACCAGGTGCCATTCTGGGATGCTGTTTGGCCCCGAGCGGTGGTATTCGGAGCCCAAATAGCGCCGCTCAGGGCCGAATAGCATGGGGGTGCCACTGCTCCCCAGCTGTTAATGATGGTTTTTGAACATGCTATGCTGTTCAGATTGTGGACTAGCATCGCCGGGACAATAGCACCCACTGACAAAGATGCTCTGAAGGTGATGCTGATGCGTAGCAGTGTTGTTTGTTTGAATCATTGCCAAAGGGTTGTGTGCATTCGAGCTCTTTTGGTGGGCCAATTTCCATGCGGGCGCCGAGATAGGCGTAGGGTGGGTGAGGGTAGCTAGTAAGGGAGGATGGTTCATCATGAACAAGAAGTGTTGCAAATCTTACATAATTGAGGGTGGGCCAGTCAACCCTTGTGCAAGAGGAAAATAGAAACAAGCGAGAACAAAAGCATAGGTGACAAAGGACTAGCTACTTGATGTTATCTTCCAGGCGCTGCTGGTACTAAGGAAGTGAACAGCGAGCCTCAGAGAAGTCCTGACGCCTTACCAGGGGTTTTAGAGCCAAAGCAGGAGCTCGTATGCTTGTGCCTTGTCCATTCACCAAACACCCTTGACTGGTCGCATGGGTATTGTCATCATCCAAAAAATAGTGCATAGCATTGCAAGGATGCAGTTGCGTGCAGTCCAGGCATCGATGTTCATTGCTAAAATCTGAACCAACAATACGGTTGGCTTTCTGATTGTGCGCTGAGCTTTGCAGATCTATCCAAACCATCTGTTGTGTAGCGGACCAGAACAAAGGTTCGTTTATGTCTAGTGTGTGAAGTAACACCAGGCTGTGACGAACAGGGTACGAAAATGATCCAAGGCATGGCTCCCATTGCTCAATGTTGTGTTCTTGTTGATGCACAGGTATTGGCAACTTGCGGTACCCGAAAATGCACTGGATGGGACATTTATCATTATCGCGCTGACCGTTCGCGCTCGGTCCACACTCGGTCGCTCCCAGGCACAGAAGCAAGACTGTAACCAGATGCATTACAGGATGAGTGTGTCAATTAAGTAAATGTATCTGCGGAACCATTCGTTCCATTCCCCTCTCATTTCTCCATGTACATGTCACTGTGAGACCATCACCACATTCACTGTGTCGTACTTCACCATGTATCTCCATATCTCCATAACACACACACTTACTTATCACAGCTGTTCTTTCAGCCTCACAATCATGTTATGTCATATTGTGCAAGTGCAACAGTATCGTATGATCGGAGACACCAATGCCTCCGAATGTTGGCATCAGCAAATGAGACAATATAAGGGCGCGGTGATGCGGCAGCATCTCCAAGATGTGACAGGGTGGGGCTCCAGCTGCTCCTGGGACGTCAATCTTTGGCTTGTGTACAGGTGGCCAAGTCTTCCACAGATGGGAACGCTGAGTGGTAAATTACTGGTAGAGGGTGTTTTGCTATTCAGCATGTGTCATGCACCGAGCACAATTGGTTGAGTGTATCACCCATTTACTTCATACCTGTTGAGCACACAACTTTCTCTCACTCTTCGATGTAGGCACGGGCGTGATCGACTTCGCTGGCTGTGGCGTTGTGCATATGGTGGGTGGTCTATCAGGACTGGCGGGTGCATGGATGGTGGGTCCCCGACTGGGACGCTTCGACGCAGATGGGAAGGTGAGGCACTGCTGCAGACATTGGTCAGCACAATTGCCAAGTGTTGTGAGGATATGATTTGTGGGGAAATCGCCTCATTTAATGCAGAGATAAAAATCATGCACAGAGTACACACAGTCCCATTTCTGCAGATGGTGCACACATTCCACAGGAAGATCAGGACATGCACATATATTGCCATGTGTTCGCAAGCACAGCTCATCGAATGGACCGTTTGTGTACTAATGCTGGATATGCTATGGTTTAGCTACTGATGCGGCTCTGTGTGGGTGGCCCCGATAGCCAGCCAGTCTGTCTAGCCTTTTGCCCTTTCTTGCACTCATGTTGCTGCTGGGTACATTTGCTACTACTGCTGTTGACAAGGCGGTGTGGCAGCTTCTTGTTTGTCTGGGAAGGCGTCGCCTTCTCAGCTGCAAACGCAGACGAGATCTTGACTAGAAGCTTTGAAGCTTGAGGCCTTTATTTGAACAGTCGTGCACCCAAGATGGTTGCAGACTAAGCAGCCCTGGCAAATAGGCACGTCAAGATTCCTCTGTCATGTGCTCCTGAAATGCGATTTGGATCATGCTGTTGCAGCCAAGGGAGATCCCTGGACACTCGGCCTCCCTGGCCCTGCTGGGCGTCTTCATCCTGTGGTTTGGATGGTACGGCTTCAACCCAGGAAGCGCCCTTGCCATTGTGGGTGCATCGGACGTGGCTGCCCTCTGTGCAGTGAACACCACTTTGGCAGCCTCTGCAGGTGAGCCCGTCTACGCCTGGCAGGTGCATGGGCTGTTCTGCAAAAGTGATAAAAACCACATGGCCTCACGGCATTGGGATTGTTGTTTAGGACTGGCCAGCTTAGATGCCCAAATATTCCTTTCAGAGCCAGCAGAAGCAGGGCCACCACGTAATCAAGGGGCAAAATTCTGTTGACAGAAGAAACAAAGGAGAGTTCGCAAAGAAGCCAAAAATCAGAATATCAAATTCCCAAAAAGCAAAACGTTCAGTTGAAACAGATTTAATCCTCCTTCTTTGAGATGAGACCGCTGCTCATGGAGTTGCTTGCTGTCCTTCAGAAGACAGCAATCTGGCACTTGCCCCTTTCCTTTTCCCATCAGCTATCAACATCCTGTGCAGAAAGGCTGAAAAACAGTCACAATCCTGCTGGGGCCAAGAAACACATCTCCAAACTTCCCTGTCATCCCTTCACTTTCAAGGGCAGCTCACTCACCAGGTGCAATGAATGCACGTTAAGTTGAGTGACAAAGCAATCAAAGGGAACTTTTGGCTCCACAGGAAGCATCTCTGCCCTGCTCCTGTCGATGATCATCAGCTACTATGTCTCGGGCAACATTGTGTGGGATGTGATCGGTGCGGGGAATGGTGCACTGGCTGGTCTGGTGTCGATCACGGCATCCTGTTCAGTTGTCCAGCCCTGGGCAGCACTCATCATCGGCTTCATTGGAGGATTCGTGTATGTGGCCTCGTCCAACTTCGTCCTGCATGTTCTCAAGGTAGGACACAATAGGGGCACTCTTAAACACAGAACGTTCGGAAGGTCTGCAGATGTGCCATTCCATTACAATGGCTGTGGTCAGCCGTTTATCAAATGCCCTGAACAGGGCTCCATTTGTGTGGCTCTTCAACGTGAGGGGTCGTGAAAATTCAAATTGTGCATGAGGAGTCACTGCTGCAAATGGTTGTCCTCGACTCATTGGTAGCTTGTTCAGTCAGCTTGTCTTATGCTATGTAACATCTGTCCAGCCAGCATCATGTAACAATGTGCAGATGCAGATTGTGGAAATTCAAACACATGCACAGTGGTCGAGACCGAACTAAACTATTAACCGAATCACACAAAGTCACATCTGCTAGCCACACACGTCCCCACACTGCATGAATGCTGTATTGTAAACCTTGAGGCATGCATCCCTTATTCGCCATCTATCTGTGCCCAAATATTGCTTCTTCTTTCGTGCTTTAAGAAAAAATAGGCACCTATCACAACATTCTGCCACGTCCCAGCAAGCCAAGAAAATCACACTCATTGGTGCAGTTCATGGGACCCCGTCGTTGCTCTGCGAATTTTGCTGACAGTTCTGGCTTCTACCACCCCTGGATATTAAAAAGCTGGCGTCAGGGTACACTAAAGACAAAGTGGAATTTCCATGGACTGGAGAGAATAGTTGTGTCATGGTATTGGTTGTCATGTTTTGCAACGTGGTCAGTGAATAGGCTTATCAATTGGAGAGAATGAGGTGAGTGTGTTGTGCCAACAGCACATCTGCCATTCTAAGTGTGCATTGCATCTATATGGGTACTTTTGCGTGGTAAGCAGGTGGTGACTGTGATTGGCAGATTGTTAGTTCTAATTCATGACACATGCACCTCTAAAGTGATAGTCAGGCACTGCGCAACGCTCCCTGTCCATTGCTGATGGCTTTTATTCTCGTCTATGCAGGTTGATGACCCCTTGGATGCAATTGCAGTGCATGCATTCTGTGGGATGTGGGGCCTCGTTGCCGCAGGTACGTATGCCTGCACTTTCTCTTCCCGCATCTGCAGCGACTGCAATTGTGGGAAGATGGCAAGTTGTTGTCCTTGCATGTTTTGGAGTAAGTGGTTGTACCACATCCACACTGATGATGGTGATGATAAAGAAATTTTATCAATTCTATGTCAGCCAGTGAGGGCTATGTTGCCACCCAACTGCACAAGAATAAGATGTCCATTGTTTGTCCAAGCTGTCGCCACCACCCACTCGTGCAGGCACCTGCCTTTATGTTGAGGCCCGTATGCACACAGATGGGCCGCCACCTTCATGCCGTTAGCAGCAGGTGCTTGCTCACAAGATGGTCAACCTACTTGTACTGGAAGTAATGGGAAGTGAACGGTTGCCCGCAAGTCTCACTTTCAAACCAGATTCTTGTCGTTATTTAGTATGCATTTGCCGTTTGCTTCCTGGCTGCATCAAGCAGAAGATCCAGAATGTCCGCCCGGAACGGTCCAAGTGTTAATCCATTGGATTCGATATGCTGAAGCATAACTGCAGCCCTACCCTGCCACTTCTCAACATCACTAGCTTGGCGAGTGGGCTTGTGCTGTCTTGTTGCAACGAGCACGTAATCCGTGGAATTGGGACCCCGCCACCTACAAACAATCTTTGCCTGGAGATGGATTGAATTCAATGCCTCTTATAGGACTGTGGTTTAGGTAACATGGTATCCTTCTTTGTGAAGGTGCATGAACATCGGCACAAATGTAAGAAATTGCAGCTGTCATCACCTTCCAATCGGAAGTGCACTACCTCGCTACAGAAGGCCAATGCAGTCTAAAATGTTTTCGACAAGGCAACACCAATTGTGGCTTTTGTCCAATTCATTGGTGTGCGCACTCGATGCATTTCATTATTCTGCCCATATATGAGCTGTTGCTGCTACCTTGAAGCTGGGCAGTGCAGAAAGCCTATCAATAGAATCCAGAAGAAAAGAGCCCAATCATGTAGGGTGCGAATGGGATTCAAGCAGAATCCTGAAGACTTGTGCTGTCTTTCTTGATGCTGTTGATGCATGTCACTATTTTCTCAACGACAGGTCAACAGGCTGGTGATCCTGTAGGAAGGGAAGTGACTGATAATGTGTAAGAAGATGTGGGAGAATGTGTAGCAGTATGTGCCATGTCGATAACGTACACAATCTGCAAGAAACACAAACATTTTTGCCTCGCTGTTTCTCATGCGATGATACATAGGCAGCAGCTCTTCAGTTAGAATGAGGTGGGGACTGCAGACTGTATCTGCCAGGCAGGATTGTGTAACAGACAAAGGCAAATGCACGTTTTGATTTCGGACAGGGAAAAATTAAACAGGTTTGCCCAATTTGCCTGCAGGTTCTTTTGCTGATGATGCCCTCCTGAGGAGTAGTTACCCAGCTCTCCTAGATGATTCCAATCAGCCCGTTTCCCGAAATTACGGCTGGGTTATGGGTGGAGATGGCAAGCTGCTGGTGTCTGCCGTAACGGGCATTGTCGCCATACTGGGATGGGTGCTGTTTCACATGGTGAGCAAGAATGGATTTATCAATTGCACCTGTGTGGCAAACAACACACTCGCCTTTACGGGTGACGCCACTCAATTCAGATCATGTGACAGCATCAGTTGTTGCAGCTTCAACTGCGAGCTCACAATGCCTGGCGGAACGAATCCCCCCATGCCACTTTGTGAGGCGACCCAGCGAGTGTTCTTTGCATTACGTGCAGGAAACATGCCATACATAGGATTTAGCCTCCCTCTGCAAGATTTGGTTAGAAGGATTTCTGCACAGTTCATGTTTTGTTATATGGAAACCGGACACAATCATGAACCAGAGGGGTCAGCATGATTCCTCTGTAGTCAGGATTTCCAGCGGTAGATCTGGCGATGAGCCGTTCGAAGATTTTCTCTTCAACCAAAAGAAACACATGTGAGACACGCGTGGCTGTTGGATCTCCACTTTGGAGAAATTCTTCCACATTGGTGTTGCCGACCATGGCCACGTTCCTGGCGCCAACCATTGCTATGGCTGTGGACATGCATTCGTGCAGCATCAATGAGGGACTTGCCGACGTGTGCATCCCCGCAGGTGCCTTTCTTTGCGGGTCTGAAGCTGGTGGGGCTGCTGAGGGTGCTGCCCGAGCAGGAGCACGAGGGGCTCGATATCTCGCACCACGGAGGGAGCGCGTACCCGAAGGAAATGGTCAGATCTGGCAGCTGGGGGTCAGCCCATGGCGGCGAGGCGTACATTAAGTGAGCACACACCGCCCCCACACCAACAAGGGCCCATGGTCAATCGTTTGTGTTTTGCACCTGCCCGAAACCGAATGTGTACTTACATCCTTTACATTGTGCACATCATACGAAAGGGTGCTCATTGCTCGGAACACCGTAGCGGATTTTCCCAAGCATGGCACAATTCATCGACGCCATCCTGGCGAGATTCGTCGAATCAAGATGGCTATGTTTTGCACGTACCTCGCTTTGAATTTACCAAAGGTGCACATGCACATTTCGAGAGCTGCACAGCAACGAATGTAAACGACGGACACAGGTTGCCTCGCACTCACAGATTCAGACCACGCTCATGTCATACCACCGCAATTGATTGTGCATTTGATTTCCGGTTAGGCACGTTGTCCGCATCAGGACAATCACAACCAGCAGCATATCACACGCACAAATTCGCGCCAACGTGTGCTCACAATCGATTGAAACCACTTCCGTTTGCCAATCCACTCTGGGAATGTAGTCTAATGCGCCAATTCTAAGGGCCCAGCTTTGCCACTGAATCATGTGTATAGTGAGCCTCCTGTGCAACTACCGCATTCCATTAATGGAAGGCGCTATGTCGATTCTGTTACGCTTAGCGTCAGTTTGACGCTAAGCTCAGACCCCCCCCACACACCCACACACCCAAACACCCCCAACCCTTCCTTAGCGTCAATCCTTATGTCGATGCAAGGGTGACTCAGCAACATTATGTGACAATGATATGCAACTTCTAGGTGGTTTTGAGGACACAAAATAGTCATTCTTTTTGCTGATTTCAGTGGGCTGCGAATTGAGGTTCTAAATGGCATTATAGGCGAGGCAGGCAGATTTAATCGTTGTAGATTGATCCGCTTTAAGCCTTTTTCTGGACCCCATCCCCCACCCCTAGCGTCAATTTGACGCTAAGCGTAACAAAATCGACATAGCGTCTTCCCTAATTGGACACCCAAACAACGTTTATCTCGCACAGACCTCCAGAACCACCTTTTGAGATTAGCTTCCTCACAACGACTGCTGAGCTTTTTCCCAGAAGTAACATTCTCTCCTCTCGTGTACTCCTGCTGCGTTCTGTGACTGCATGACTGCAGTCCGCTTCCACACTGTTTCCCAGTCAATCAGACCAGAGTTCTTGCTGCACTCTGGCTTGGCCCAGATGCACACACCACCCCAGCGCAAGCTCTTGCTGAACAAAGGGTGCGCCGGACACTACTGGCAGGATTTGAAAATCAACAGCAGAATCGGGAGGAAATAACAGGGTTCGTACCATCGCCAGCGCGGATTATACTGGCCAATGGGCCATGCACGATTCATGGCAATTGCATACAATTTGCAGTTCAAGTGGTATGACATCAACACCAGTAGAAAACAGCCCGTTTGCGATGCCAATTCCGATGGCATTCGACACAAATTGATGCCATCGCAGCCTCTTTTATGCCATCGCAATCACTGTGACGGCATCATTTTGTGTCAAACTGGCATCGCAATTGGCATTGCAAACATGCCGTTTTCTGCCAGTGCAAGTGCTGAACGCGACAGGAAGTTGGTGGAACGGTAAGCAATTTGGTCAGTGTCCGACGAAGCGATTTGGTCCTCTGCCAGCGCACTGTGCATGACCGACGAACGATTTCAACACTTGTGCATCATTCAACACAGAGCGACCTTGTGTGAATCCACCACAATTTTCAGTGAAATGCCCCTGCTTCCAGGGAGTTGTGGAGCTTATCAACAACGGACGTCGCCTCGACCCACATCGCTGTGTATTACCATCGACAACGCCAGGACGTTGTCAACATATCTGCGAACATGTGACGAAATGGAATGCGGTTGTGCACCCAGGGAATTGAAGTCGGAGATGGCGACGATGAAAGAGCAGATGGAGGAGCTGCAGAGCTTGCTGCTGGATTCCAAGGATAAGAGCCCATTGTCAAAACGAGCGTCGTCAAGAAAGGTTCTGAAATCATAGGTGTTGATGGAGCCCCAGCGACAGCACTACCTGGCCAATGGCTCCATCCACGGAGAGCCATATGCACAGATAAGGGCCGGCTGTCGGAACGACAGTTCCAGTGGCGACATTCACCGGCGCTGGGGACCTGCGAGTGCAGGACAATAAGGCTGCCGTCAGGCTGCTGTCTGTGAGCATCCAGCGGCGACCGACTGGAAGCGTCGTGATTGTGACTGTCGTAGGTTGGACGCAGCGTTGGCCATTCCTCATGAGGGCGATGCGGACCCGCGGGAGATCAGCCACGCTGGCTGGTCGGCCACACTTGGCCCTGGGAGCCGAGTTGATGTGGACCGGTAGAATCCGTCAAATAATGGACTGCATGGAATGAGAGGCCGCACCGTCGCGAGGACGGTGACAAAGTGCGATGGAGTATCGATCCCACGTCAGAGGCAGGATCTGTTGGGGAGGGGGCTCATGTGTGTGCGTGTGGGCACTCGAGTGGCTGTGGCGTGTTCCCCAGCAAGTCGTACACAGAGCTGGAATAATGCGTTCTGGAACGCTGGCTGAAAAGAGGAGAGAGCAGCGGTGGATCATTGGGAGGCATTCATCATCACGATTTTTTCAATTGATTCGCCCGTAATTAGGATCATAGGTTGTCGTGCTTGGCACGCAGGCCCCCTTGCGGGGCTGGCAGGCAGCACACGGCGCGGCAAAGCTGAGAGCGCCTTCAGCGTTCGTTGCCATCGAGTTGGTGGGGGAATTAGCGTAACGCGGGGAGCTAAATGTATTTGTCAATTTGCTGTGCGCGGGAGCGCCTGATTGTTCAGTGGCAGGCGAACGAAGGTCGGCAGTGGGCATCGGCAAGGCGAACGAAGGTCGGCAGTGGGCATCGGCAAGGACCAGTGGGAACGCGTTCGAAGTTGGGAGGTCTGGGAGCGCAGCCGCTGTCGCGGCGGTGGGAGGATGTGCCAACTGCGCTGGGCGGCGTCGGTTGGGGAGTTTTGCCGTTCAAATGCGCCGGCTGCAAGGAAAATCGCGCCCTTGCGCGTGTACGGAAGGTTGGAGACTGACTTGATGACTGAGTTGCGGTCGGAAGACCGGAGTGCCTGAAGGGAGTCGCGTTGGGCTCGCTGTGCTTGTCATAAAGAAGAGGGATGTTCCCCCCCCCCCCTCCCCCCCCCCGATGGCGACTTCTGGGCGCGTGCCCTGATCGGTCCCATTGACGGTTCATCCTACCGCCTTCGCGACTGCCTGTCAATATTTAATGACTATTGGAGTTCGAATGCTCGCCTCCCGAGTGACATTGGCACGAGCACCAGCAAGTGAAAACACGAAATAGGAATATGCAATGCGGCTCTCAGCAGGGATGTTTGGAATCACAGTGCGTGCTCCAAGCAACGGAAAACATGCCCGCCCGTCGGCACCCATCCACCCGCACGTCCATTCAGCGTTTAACGTGGTACGGGACGTTTAATAAATGTGCCCAAACCAAAACAGTGATTCGGCCTAAAGGATGAAACTCCCCTAAAAATGAGAGACGGACCAATCACGCGGAAAAGACCCGCTCTGCAAGCATTATTCCACAGCTGCGGGCAGCATTTCATCCGCAGCCCGCACGACACCATTTAAACCACGGCGGCCGGCCCAGTCACCACCCGTTCGGCCCAAAAGGCCACAGGCGCAGCCCATCCCAGCCCTCCCGCGGGCACGCGGCTCCATCGCGTACCCTCCCCCCCCCCAAGCCCACCAAAGACCTCCGTGCGCTTGAGGCCCAGCCCCAATGTCGAGCACCTCCGCCCGGGCCTACCCTTTTCCACGACCTCCACAGAAGGGACACCGCCTACCAGGCCCCAAGGTTTGCGCCAATCCGCCGTACGGGAGCGCGGTCCGCTGCGGGCCACACGCGACCCGCGCGCTGCGCGGATATGCCAAGCCTGGCATATCCGCCCATGGGGCACTTCTGCACTCACATCAGCAAACCGCCCGTTGCTCTGCCTGACTCCAGCCGATATGACGCGCCCCTCACACCGTACACAGCTGACGTATACCACTCACCGCCACCCCCACGTCTCACATGTCCCATCCCAGACCGCGCCGGCCTCAACAGTCCCAAAAGGGGCCTGGCCGCCGAGTGCACTTGCCCCCTCCCCCGCCGCGTTCCGTGCCTGTCCACCCCCCTCGCCCGCCGCGGGTGCCCCAAGCGGCCCCAGATTCTCTCCGGGGGCGGAGGTACCCGTCCGCCGGTGCGCGCTGGCCGCAGGGCCCGGCTGCGAGGCGCTAGGATGGCCGACTCCGCCCTGACGCCGGAGCAGCTGGCCACCGTCAAGGAGCAGGTCTTCAAGGCGATTGGGTTCAGGGAGGAGGATGGCCCCGTGGTGCAGCGGCCGGCGGGGCCGACCTCGGCCTCGGACACCGATGCGGAGGCCGCGCTGGACACCGACGCTTTCTTCGTGCTCTTCAGCGGATACCTCGTATTCTTCATGCAGTGCGGCTTTTGCATGGTGCGCGGCGCGGGGCCGTGATGTCTTGAGCGGCGGCGCGCCATGGGCCCCGTGGGTGGGATCTGGAGCGCGATTTGCCGGCGGCTGCGTTGGCAGATCGGCGGCAATGTCCTTTCGAGGATCGCGAGTCGCGAGGCGGGGGGCGAGGGGTTGAGGACGGGGGTTGGGGTAGTAAGCCGGGCGCGGGCAGTCCCAGCAGCGCTCTCGGCGATACATATTTTCCTTTGCCGTCGGAGCCCAGCGAAGCCTTGCCGTTTTGCGGTCCCCCCATGTTTGCGCCGCGCGGCCGCTCCTGGTCAGTGATCCACCAGCCCTGCGCGCTTGCAAGTGGCCTCTTTCAGCGGAGACTGCCTTTTGAACTCAACGAGAACGAGGCCTGTTTTCCGTGCTGATGACTGTCGTGCTGACTTGGTCGTTCCCGTCCCGTGCAGCTGTGTGCGGGCTCCGTGCGCGGCAAGAACGCCAAGAACATAATCCTGAAGAACCTGTTGGACGCGTGCTTCGGCGCCCTGGGCTGGTACCTGGCGGGTTACGGCCTGGCCTTCGGCGAGGACTCCAACGACTTCCTGGGCGTGTCGAATTTCGCCCTGCACGACGTGCCGCCCAGCAGATACCACAACTGGCTGTTCCAATACGCGGTGAGCCGCCTGCCCTTGCTGTTCCTCTTTCCTGTTTATCTTTTCATCGACCCGGATTTTCACCCTTACATATTGTCTCGGCCGTTGCCCTGGGGTTGGGGGGGGGACTCCATTGTGTGCGCAACCCCGCAGTTGGCGTCGCAGAGAAGACTGGATCTACCAATCTCCCCGGCCTCTGTGCCTGCCTTATCGATGGCCACCAACCCCCAGGTATACGGCAGATCAGTCGATCGTCACCGGCGTTCTGGCCGTTTTGTTGCGGGTCGCCCCCAGCACTCAGTACCAACCCAGCTGAACACATGTTCTTTTGCTTCCTGTGGAGCATGAAAGTCAATTAACAGTTGCATGTACATCCCCTCCCTCACGCAGCCCGATCGCAAGGCGATTTGATGGCCGGGCGCGGTTTCTGCCAGTTCGCAACGCGTGCCGGTGTTATTAAAGTGTGCCCGTGTTCTCTGCCAGCTCTTTAAGTGTGCCCGCGTTCTCAAAAAACGTGCCTGTGCTCAGTACCGGCTCTCAAAGCATGCCTGTGTTGTCTGCCAGTTTGCCGCGGCGGCGACGACGATCGTGTCCGGGGCCGTGGCGGAGCGCACCAGCTTCGTGGTGTACCTGCTGTATGCCCTGTTCCTCACTTCCTGGGTGTACCCCATCATCGCACACTGGGTGTGGGCGCCCACAGGCTGGCTGTCTGCGCGCTTCGTCTACAAGTCGTCGCTTTTTAATGGTGAGCCGCAGGGCCCCAAGGGGCCCAGCGACGAGAATATATTAGTCCCCCTGTTTTCCATGAGGACCCCTTCGTCTTCCGCCGACAATGCACACCGGTCGGGGGTGCAGGGGTTCAGGGTTTAGGGTGTCCGAAACAAGAAGGGATATTCACGGAAAAGACAGAGCGACTAATTTCATGCCGCCAGTGACAATTTGGCAAGTGGCAATGTGGCAAACGCACCGTAGCCGTGTCGGAGGCAATGAAATGTGGTCCCGGCAGCGCCGAGGGCGAGACACAACGACAGGCAACCGAATGTTATGTCACTCCTTTTTTTGCCTGAATCTGTGCTTTTTCAGGCAATTGGTACGCCTTATACCCAGAATTCAGGCCACCAAATATGCAGGTTGAGCAAGGAGACAATACAGAGTTAGACAACAGCAGTAGCCAACAGCACTGACGTATTGTCGATTCAACGCATGTCCTGCTTCAGGCCCGGGGGAAAGCGTGTCTGCCGTTTGCTGATGCTGCTCAACGTACATTTTTGTACATCTTGACCTGTCCAGCCAGATGGTGTACTGGTGCTTCACTGGTGCCAGAATGCATTTCGCCTTGGACAGTTTTTGCGGGAGTTGCTGCATTTGTTGGTTGGGACATGTGAGGGTCTTGACGATGTGCCAGGCACAAACTGTGGCAAATCTTACTTGGTTGCCAATGCCTGGATTTTGAAACCCTGATGGTTGCTTTCTGCTAGTTTCCTTCTTTTCAACGAACCACAAGCCACTGACCTTGCCAGTTTCATGATTGTTACCAATAGAATAACACTGAGTGCTATGTAGCAAGTATTTAATTTTGAGGAATATGTATTTTTGTGAGGAAATGAAGTAAGCTAAGCAGCAGTGAAGAGAACCTAAATAGAAATGTGTGCAGAAATCGACACCTCTATGGCTGCCTCGCTTCATCGTGTCCATGGTATATCATTTCCAAGCTACAGACTTCAGACACAGTACCCAACAGCAGCCAATGTGCAACAGCATTGTTTTGTGATAGGCAGCAATAGCATGCAAAGTGCATTTCAGCCAGCTCCAAAATTCAGCATTATTTCGTTGGTACTTTGCCAATCTGGCAAAATCTAGCAAATCTGCGCCTATGGCACCTTTACAGTGTCGCAGAGTTGAGCATCGTTGGCTTGTGTGGAGCGGTGTTGTGACTGAAATTCCACCGCTTTCCCCAGGCACGGGACTGCTCGACTTTGCTGGTTCAGGTGTTGTCCACCTGACTGGTGGGCTGGCAGGGATGGCAGGTGCATGGATAGCAGGCCCACGCCTTGGACGCTTCGATGCAAGTGGAAAGGTGTGACACGTGGCTGGAACCCAACGAATCTGTTTAAGGACACAGTTGCCAGATTTGGAGAGAGCAGCTGCCAGAATCGATAGTATGCTGCACCTGCCACTGAAAACAGGGAATCGTTATTCCCAGATTGGTGTCCCCAAAATCTGTGTAGTGGCCAACTGGTAATGAGGCCCAAGCCCTGGCGATCCTCGAGTTGGAACTCAAAATTGCAGTCAGGTGTGTTGTTCATTTGATGGTTTGAATATGAGTAGTTGAGTTGGGACTGAGCAGCCTACAATGTCGTTGGCATGGCTAGTGGATTTCTGACTGCACTAGACCTTGCAGTCTCGAAAGGGCTGTGAACAGTGAGGACTTGGCTGCTCGCCACAGTCACCCAAGAGCCAGTGCTTTCATGGAAAAAATTCTCATGATACTGTTGCTCAGGAGAGAAGCAGCGCCATCTGCTGTGCATTCTTTTGTTTCACCAAACGAAGCTCACAACTTTTGTGGTCCCCAGGCTCGTGAGATCCCTGGGCACTCCGCCTCCCTGGCCCTACTGGGTGTCTTCATCCTATGGTTTGGATGGTACGGTTTCAACCCAGGAAGTGCTCTGGCCATAGTGGATAGTTCGGAGATCGCTGCCCTCGCTGCCATCACCACCACCCTATCTGCTGCTGCGGGCTGTATCACCACTCTCTTCATATCCATGGCCATAAGCTACAATGCTACAGGGTCGATCATGTGGGATGTGATCGGCGCCGGCAATGGGGTGCTTGCAGGCCTGGTGTCGATCACGGCCTCTTGTGCAGTAGTCCGCCCCTGGGCAGCTTGCGCGATCGGTGTCTTTGGCGGCTTGTTCTACACGCTGTCATCCAGTGTGGTGCTGCATGCGCTCAAGGTGTGTGTTTTTTCACTTGCCGTAGACCTTGCTCTTTGCTATTTTCAGTAATGTTCCAGCCACTAAACTAGTTCTGGAATCGCAGCAAGCTGTCTTTTTCTTTGTTTTTCCCAGTGTTGCAGCACGTTGCATATTTTGGAATCCAGTGAAGAGGGCAACAGCCTTCTCAGCAGACTGGATAGTGTTGAGCAGAAGATACTGGCACGCCCTGTGCACTGAAATGGAGGAGAAAATCCGGCTGTCAAGCTCTTTGATGGGGGCTGAGCTCAGGGTTTTGGGAGCTCAAAGACTGGCGCTACCTGGCAGCCACCTTTGTTAATTTTTGATTGTTAATTTGTTGATTGTTGATTGATTTGATTTTTGATTGTTAATTTGGCATCCTTATTCCTTTCTTTGGTTTTGCTGAACGTGCCTGTGTTCCTCTGGGACCTGCCAACGTGCTAGGAACCCCTGTGCTGCACATATCCTTCGAGTGACCTGAAACCGAAGTGTGGACTTACTGATTTGGGGCATACGACTTGCAGTTGTGTTTGCCCAGTCATTTTGTGGGATGGGTACCTTAGGGTGGATTTACATACCTAAACTTGAAGGACACGAGAGAGTATTGTCTTGAAAAGTTCAAAGTTCCTGCACAAGTCATGGAATTGACCAGATGTTCGTTGCATCAGCTGCGTGTTGATATCAAATTGTTGGACCATTCTTGAACTGCATGGAAATCTTGTTGTGCAATGCAGTCTGTCTTGGGTTGTGCCCCATGTCAAATTGTCTGTAGAAACAATTGACGCTTTGTTTGCCCTTGTCTAGGTGGATGATCCACTGGATGCAGTATCCATTCACGGAGGTTGTGGGATGTGGGGCCTCATTGGTGCAGGTGAATACAACTTGAACCGACCCGCTTGGCACCAGTAGTGTTTTATGCCATGCTACCCTTCGGGAAGTGTGCACAGACGGGAACGAAGTGGAAAAGAGCCAAGCTTGTTTGCATGCAGTTGGCCTGGAAACCTCGTTGGTCCATCGACGTAAAGCCGCTGGAAAACAGAACGCCTTTGTGGCTTTCCTCCGCTGTATCTGCCATCTCCCATCTTAGCTGTGATAATGGATACCATGGGTCGTCTCTTGCCCACAGCCACAGGAGACAGATTCCAAAGTACGACTTACATGATATGGTACGCGTCAAATATTCGGTGCCGTTTTGACTTCCTGGGCGCTGTCCTGTCGCTCAGTGGCACCATCTCCACCATGCATGGATACCATATGTGTCTTCTTCGTACTCCCGCCTTTACATGCCATGTCTTCGGAGCAACGAACACTTCCAAACACTGGCCCACCAGCAAGAATATCTGCCACAGCTGCCTGTTGTTACAGGCACCATGATGTACCACTAGTGCATCTTCTCTGAGTTGGAGGTCTTTGCCATAGGCCTTGCTGACAGAGACAGAGAAGGTGCGCCAGTAGTCATGAATGTTGCCTGAGAGTTCGACTGCAGCTTCACATGGATATCTTCTCATGGCGCGCCCATTGTTTGACAAAAGCTCTCTGTGGTGCTGCAGCTCTATTTGCAGACGAGCGATTGGTCCACATGACCTACCCTACAATTCTAAACGACGATACTTCTCAGGCGAGGAGACACTTTGGGCTTTTGGTGGGTGGAAATGGGCAGCTGCTCGCTTCTGCTGTGGTGGGCATCGTTGTGATCGTCGGCTGGGTTCTGGGGCACATGGTGAGTATGCAAGCCACAGGGAAGCTGCCCAGTTCAAGCAATCCAGTGACTTGTTTTGTGGAAGCCCCACGCTGCGACTCTTCTCTTTTCTGTTGTCCAAATCAGGCGACACATTCCCCAGCACTTGCAAGGTTGTCAAGGGCGGATTTGTCAGAGCTGTGCTTCGATAGTCTTCAAGTTACCACACGCGGCTTTTGTGTCTGAAGTACAGGGATTGGCGCTGTTCTTGTACCAGAATAAGTATTGTGCCACATTTAAGAGACCAGGTGCTGCCAATGGCGGAACGGAAGAAGTGTAGGCCTTGTGCCACCTCCTACGACGGTGCAAGGTCATGCGCAGTCCAAGAAAATGATCCGAGAGATGAATGATTCCACAGTACTGAAACAGCGATGTTTGGCACCCCAGGGGTGTCAGATCAGGAATCGTAGCAACGTTGGATAGGTCGTTGGTTATCGTGATCACAATAGAGAAGGACTTGCACTTGGCTGCGTTGACACGCTTGAGTCACGCAGCTGTGGACATGAAGACATGTCGCTGTCATTCGTATCCTTGCTACGCGCGTTTTGATGTTGCATGCACTGTGCCGATAGTTCTGAATCTTGGTGACTTGATATATTGGCCCTGACGAGGTGTTGTACTCAGTCTACGGGTACAATGTTCTATTCTAGAACATTGACAAGTTGTGTGTCTCCAACATGTGAATATGTGTAGAAAGAATGCTATTGGTTGCAGCGTCGTGTTGAATGCGCCATTCAAATGCAGCAGAATGCGCCATTGCGAAAGTCGATAGCTCCATACTCATATTGCCGTGTTGCAATGTACAAGCATGCACTGTCATGCTGTACTTTTCGCCAATGTCCGCTGGCATTCTGTCACCTGCAGGTACCCTTTTTCCTTCTTATGAAGAAGATGCGCTTCATGCGTGTTGACCCCCAGCAAGAGGCTGAGGGTCTTGATATTGTGCATCACGGTGGCAGTGCCTATCCCAGGGAACTGAAGGGCAGCTCAACAGACAAGCTCACTGCCGGCAGCGAGCCTTCCTTTAACGCGGTGCAGAATAGCAAAGTCATCAGGTAGGACATGCCCAGGCCTGCCGCTCCGTTTGTGCACAGTCCCAAAACAGCGTGAATGTAAAGCAGCACGGAGGGAAGTGAGGGCGTGGCGCCCTTGTAACTGTGTAGGTGGCGTGTGTTTTCTCTCAACTCTGCTCCCTCTCAAGTGCATTGTTGGCTGTCTGGTGCAATGGACACAGCCACACGCATAACAGAAATTGTGCTTTTGCCTGCTGAAACTCTCGTACGGCGATGCAGCGGTTCGGTTGTGTTCAGCTTGTAAGCCGCTTGTGCAAGTGCTATGACGAGAACATTCTGTTCCCTGTATGCGGGAGACGGACAGTGTCGGCATGGCAAGACGTGTCCCCAGACTGGAGAAGTGGCACTGATCGCTGTGTTGTGTCGCACGCTCCTTCGTAAACCAGCAGGTGCTGAAAAGCGCATTTGTGCATTGCTGGCAGGGACATAATGAACGATGTGGAGATAATGAAGGGTCAGATTCATCGGGTGTTCGCAAACCAGGCGGGACCGGTCAGCAGGGACCATTCGGAGCACTCTGTAGGGTGGTCCCGATGAGGGTGTGCCGCTGGACTGTAGAGAAGGTAGTACAATTGTGTTGCATAGCTAGGGGTACTGGGGGGACAAGGGGGTTGGCCTGTTGATGATTGGATTCTCAAATTTTGGCAACGCGTGGGCGCTGCCGCGCTGAGGCGTTGCATGGTGATCTTTCGCCAGCGCGGTGAGGTGCAGCGGAAAAGATGCGTTTCCGCCCACATCTGTTTCTGGAAGTCATGTTGGGACAGGAATTAATTGTATGTCCTGTGCCCTGGTCGAAGAGAGCCAGGAGAGCCAGGTATGAGGAAGCTCGGTACCGAACGAGCTGCCATTGATGTTACATCATCAATTGACAGAATTCATGCATGGTGCAATTACTGCTGGCTGTGGAGTCAGTGTAAGCGTGGACGGTTCCTGGCCGCTGGGGACCCGTCCTGCCGGCCTTTCCTGCAGATTCCACGTTGAATTGCGCCATCGGGTGTCGGGTTGGACAGGGGTGGGAGTGGGAAGTGCGGCGTGTTGCGATACGGAGTGCTGGCTGCTTGCTACTGGACTATTCGGGTTGGTGCAGGCAGGAGCCCTGCCAGCGATCTCGGCAAACATGTCGGCAAATGGGGGCCGTGGCGAAAAGGCCACAGGGAAAACTGAACCCAGGAAAGATGCTCATGAAAGGCAGCGTGCCTGAACCGGAATCGTTGCTGTCCTGGACGGACACATAATTTCTCGGAAGCAAGAATGGGATTGGGTGGGTGGTGCTTCTGGCAAAGGCGTTTGGGTCGTCGCGTGGGGATATAGCATGCGAATAAATGTCGAGGGAAATGCAGCCAAGCCGCGGCTGCTGCTGCGATGGAGAGGAACATGACCATGGCGGCCTGACGAACCGAATGTGGGGGGTGCCGAACTGCAGTCCAGGGACCGGTGGGGACGACGGGGAGCGCTTGGCGCAAATTTCACCCCCAGCGCTGCGATTGGTGCGGGGGCCAAGCGCCCCTGTCGCCTTCCACTGAAGCTGGGTCCTGTGCGGCAGTCCTGTGGCGGTACAGACGCGATCTATCCGACGGTTGGTTCAGCACCATTGGGGTGGAGCGACTCGAGCAGATTCTAAATCGCGGATCTCTGGCGGATCTGCACTGTATCCGGTACACTGTAATTTGGAGTTGATCGAATTGGCCAACGCACGCGCCTGTGGCTCCGACTTGGAGGAATGCATGGCTTGGGGGTTGGGATCCTCCAGGGATGTCTGGCGACCGTCCTTTGGCAGAAACGTGTCATTCAATGGGCACCCTTTCCTCACCAGAAAAGTCAGCGAGGCCCTTTTGCCGTTCCGCAGAAAATTTGACAATTAGTTCGAGTGGCCCAGGACAAGCTCGGGAACAGTTGTGACGTACAGCGTCACTGGCACAGCAGCGTGTGACGGGGTACGACAGACTTTTCCACTGCCACTCCTGTGGGGACTGTGGCGCCACTGCAAGTCTTTCACAGTTTTCCGTTGCCACTGCTGTGGGGACTGTAGTGCCACCGCAATATGTCTTGGACGCACACAAGACACACCCAATCCCGTCCACTAGATATTGCAGCACTCGAACCTAAAAGACAAGAGGCGAACAGCGTTAGACGAAGCCAAGCAACCGGGTCGTGCACAGGCTGGGCCGACACTTATTGCATCGCGGGAAATGCGACGGTTTGGTTGGGAAGCGCTGCAGCATCTTGCACCTGCAGCAGTGAAATGGGCTGACTGGGGAGGGGTGGCGGGGTGGGCAAGGCGGGGGCTGTCATATCACATCTCGGGGATGAGAGCGTCCAGTGCAAAGGCCAATAGACGCCCCAAGAAAGGTCTAAATCATGTACCTCTCTCCTCCCCTCCGACGTTGAGTCGTGAACAAGCATTCACAACGGGAAAACGCACCATACAGCGTCTCAAAGCCAACAGTGCCCCCGTCGCTGGACACGCTGCACTACACAGACCAGACGCCTGTTCAACCACTCGAGGCGACGGACTGCACTACCACAAGAAAGAAGAGACATGGCCCTCGACCATGAAGCCTGCTCAGAGGCCATTCAACTCGCCCCGCCCAGTCCACAGCTGCCCGGGGAACCTCTCCACGAACGTGCCCCCGTGCATGTGCCTCAAGCACTGTCTCCTAAAGCCCTGGCACCCCGACAGGTCCAGCAGCGTCAGGTTGGTCAGCCCAAATAGGCTCTCAAAACCCTCGTCGCTCATCTGGGAGCCAACCAGCGACAGCGAGGTCAGGTTGCTCAGGCGGCCGAAGCGCTGGGCGCACCTGTTGCTGACGCGCGGCACGCAGTTGCACAGGCGCAGCGTCCTCAGGGCCTTCAGCTCGCACAGCGCCGCCAGGCCGCCCTCCTTCACGGCTTTCGAGTTGTGCGAGTTGGACAGGTCCAGGTGGGTGAGGTTAACGAGGCCGGACAGCCGCGCCACGCCCTCGTCGGTCACACTCTCGCACCGCCTCACCTTCAGGTGCCTCAGGCTGGCGAAGGTCCCCAGCCAGCCGAAACCCTCATTCGTGATTCCCCGCCCCCGCACCGTCCCCCCGCAGTCCACCACCCCGTTGCAGTCCGACAGGCACAGGTAGCGCAGGTTGGTGAGGCTGCTCAGCTGCTGCACGCCCGCGTCGCTCACCCCAAAGGACCCCTCCAGGTCTACGTGCTCCAGGGCCGTCAGGCGGCCCAACCACCCCAGGGACTCGTCCCTGATCCTAGAGCAGAACGACAGGTCGATGTGCCGCAGGTTGGTCAGGGTAGACAGGGCCCCCACCACAGCGTCCGTTATACGGAAGCAATCCCTCAGGTTGAGCTGCGTGAGGTTGGTGAGGGAGGAGAGGCACTCAAAGCCGGCGGTGCTCACCCTGGAGGGGCAACGTGGCTCCCCGAACGTGCTGGTAGTCGTCACGCGCCCCCGGCACGCCAAATCCAGGGACTCCAGGCCGATGAGCCCTGTGAGAGTCTCCACGCCAGCGTCGGTGATCAGTGGGCAGACAGCCAGCGCCAGGTGCCGCAGGGAGGGTATGCGGAGGAGCTGCGTCAGCCCCTGGTCGCTGATCTGCCGGCAGTTGGACAGGTCCAGGCGCTGGAGCTCGGTGCAGGCCTGCAGCCGCGTCAGGCTGCTGTCGCTCACACAGCGGCCGTTCAGGCTGAGCTCTGTGAGGGCTGGGAGGCATGGCAGCAGGGTGGCCAACCAGGCATCGTCCACCTGCAGACCGGAAGTGCACAATCGCAAACAAACAGCGCTGATGGAACAATGCACATCAATGCCATGCCTCTGCAGTGTGCGTCCATGCCCTCGAAAAAATGTGCATCGTATTTCTCCCAATGCAATCGAATCATCGATTCACAGCAGCAAGAACAGAAACATGCCACACAATGGACAAGGTGATGCTCTGTTCAACACTGTGGAAGATGAGGAAGGGTGAGAGCAAGCCAGCCCAATCCAACGCCCCATGCCTCACCTGGCAGCCAGACAGGTCAAGGCAGCATGTGTTGGAAAAACTGCCCTTCAAGGAAGCCATCAACGCACCCACAGGCGCATCCCTGGGCGCCAGGAACGTTGTCACGTCGTTGGCCCATCTATGCCAGTGTCGATTGACAAGGCGTGCCACCCTCAGCAGAGCCAGTTGTCCTCTCTGCTCGGGGGAACAGGCCACCCGGACTCCATCTAATAGATTTGCTGTTAGGCAATCCCAGCCGCCTCCAGAGCCACCACCTGTGGCCACAGTGATGCTGCGCCCTTTTATGACGCTCTTCCCAAGGTGTTCCTGTTGCAGCAAAGGTCCTATGAGCTCAAACACCCAGGAAGCGATCCCTTGCGATTGCCCCAACCAGCGAGACAGCAGAAGCAGCAGGACACAAGCGCCCTGTGTCACCTCCTTCACAATGTCTCCCAAGAGCACAACTGCCAAATGTGGTTCTGCAAACGCGCAGCACAAACCGCAAGTTTCCATTACACGGGCACTCCAGGGCCAATTCTGGATACTATCGTGACAAGGTGCATCCCATGCAAGAGCACAGGTGGAAATGCCACCGCAGCATTGCTAAATTTGCCCGCAAGGATGGAGCTTTGAGGACTGGGCGGCCCAGCAGATGCCCCGCCGCTGAGCACCCACCTGGAACGCCGCGGGCACCGAGTCCTCCATATTCGCCGCGCACTTCCCCGACCAGCCCATCACAGCACGCTGCGAAACACGCACACCCAACCGCTTGTAACCACCACCTGCCTGCACGGGCCCACTCGCACACACAGCCGGACAAAAAATTGCACAGTGCCCCCCAGGACAATATCAGTCCACAAGGCTCTCCATCAACGGGATCCCCCTCACAATGCACACGCGCCTGTGCAGATTTTTTCGCCTGTGCAGATTTTCTCGCCCGTGCAGATTTTCTCGCCTGTGCAGTTTTTCTCGCCTGTGCAGTTTTTCTCGCCCCCGCGCGCCCCGTCAACTCACACAAGGCTGGCGCCCAACTCCGTCCGCTCGGCCCTGTGCCGTCCCTCCAGCTCCCTCCGGTCCCGGGCTCCTCCCAACCACCCCGCTGGGCACGCGCTACTGCACCCCAACACCGCAGCCGGGGCGGCGTGCTCCGTGGGCGCGTGCTGCATACCGCCCGTGCCGCCCGCCGTGTCCGCGCAGTTCGCCCGCAGTGTTTTCCCCCGCACTCCGCCGGCCTGCAGCCTCCTCGACCAACCCCTGCGTCCGACCCGCGGCTATGTGTGCGCACACCGTGTACACCTAGCCGCCTCGATCCTCAGTACCGTCGCAGACAGGGCGCCTGTGAGCGGGCCTCCGTAACCTCGGCCGGTGGCGTGTCCGGCGGAGCAGTCCGTGACGTCCCGCCGGCCATCACGCCGCTCCCAAACAGCCGGCTTTCCGCCGGCGGACATTTCTCGAGGGCGCCCGTCAACACTCCCCGGTCGCGCCGGCGGGGAGGCGCCATTTTCAGAGCGGTAATCGATACGGCAATCCGTACTCGCGGCGAGGCGACGACGCCGGCGGACAAGGATCCCGTGGAGCACGGCGCCCAGCAGTGACGATGGGCGCCCGCCTTTTCCCCTCCACGGCCCCAGGGACCCCGTCGCGTGCATTTCCCCCTCCCTCTCCCTCACTGCCCCACCCCGCCCCACCCCGGATCCAATCCCGATCCCCCGGGCCCCCTCGATCTGCGCACCGTGCCGCAGCGCCGCGGGCGCATCGGGCGCCGAGCATTTATGCCAACCAACCCGATCCTCACAGCCGCTTCAGGGCGCCCATTCCCCCACACCCCTCGCCCAGCAGCGTGCGGCACGGCCCCATCGCCCCCAACATTCCAAGCCTGACCTCCGCGGATCGCCCCCCGGAATGGCAGAGGCATGATTCCGACGTCCGATCCCCGCATTCGGCCCCATTCGTGCCCAAGGGCCGTCAGGGCACATTCCACAGGGTACCCCACCACACACACGCACACACCCGCCCATCAAAACTCACCGCCCTCACCCGCCGCACCTGTCACCTGAGCTCAAGCGCGCTGCCGCCGGCCACCGCCCTGCCGCCGTGGTGCCACGCCCAGCCGCTGCGCGATATGGCCAGGCACCGAATCTGGGCCGAAGCTAGACGACACAAGTGCGCCGGATTTGGGCCTCGGCCCGCATCCGAGTGGGATGTGACGCGGGGTCCGGGACCGGTGCCGGGATGCACCGGGATTTTGCCGGGCCAGGATTCGTGGACGGCAGGCCGGCCCGGACGCCCGCGGCCCGGCCACGTGGGACGTGACATCGACGGCACCTCACCTCCCCGGCCCATTTGCCAGCGTGGCGGGAGGCCTTCGTGAGACTTTGGGGCGTTCAGTCATTTTGTGGGCGAATTAGTGGGACTGGTTTAGTGGGAGGGGTTGGTGGTGAGGTCCCTCGTTGGAGGGGAGTTGTGGTGGGGGTGAGGGGCCCAAGTAGGTGGACCACTTGTTCTGGCGGCTCGAAGCGATTTTGGGATTCGGTTGCTCGCAGTTGATAGGGGCCGGGAACCGTGTGACCTCACCGGGGGGGGGCTGGTCGCCCTGATTGCGGTTCCGGGACGTGGTACAAAACCTCGGGCAAGACGGCCCAGTGGTAACAAAGCCTGACCTAATCTGGGGCTGACCTACGCGAACCGACCTACATGGGGACTTGCATTCCAAGGTCCTGGGCGTTGTGAAAGCGGAAAAAACGGCGCAACCAGCAGGGGTACAGTGGTGGCGTTGTCAAAATTATTTGCAGATTGCAGTGCTTAGTTGTTGGACGCCTTTGGCAGAGGGAAACATCTTCGCACGCACTCACGGTCTTGTTCGCTGAACTTCACTCAAATGTCTGCTTGCCGTGATTCCCTCTGTGAATTGGCACGAGGATAAGAACTGGCTTCCAGCAGAATGGAATAGATCTAATTTCCGATCTTTGGTGTATTTGGCGATCATATTTCTGGCAATGGCACTCTGGAAGCGAACACATGTCCAACATCTTGCAGGCACAAGGGCTAAGTTTTTTACCACGTTCAGACAGTTGCATTCGTGCGTTTCACTTGATACCATCCACAAAGCATCCACACATATCCCGCTGATTAGATTCCGTTGATGGTAGAAACAACAAATTTCAACGTCTGTCAGAACATCGATGTTCCATCTATGCTGTAACACACTTCATCCTCTGTCGATCATCTTGACCATTTTGGTACAGAATATGTGCATACAAAATGAGCATATGCAGATCAAAATCTCTGCCTTTCTGAAGGGGCTGCTGGTCGCCTATTTTGCATCCCAGGATATGGGCAGGTGCGGCAACTGAGAGGCGGGCAGCAGAGCATCCCTAACAGACTGACTGTCAACCCAGCCAACACTCCACCCAACAGCCTCCTCCTCCGCTCTTCTTCACAATTGCCATTCAAGAGGATTTCGAGGTGCCTCTCCAATTCTTTGGTTGAAGGCCGACTGTTACGTGCATTTTAGCAGGCCAGGTGCCTGCTCAGGGTCTACAAACCATTCCTGAAGCCTGGCTGCTCTTTCGATACCAGCCAATCGGCTTGCAAGCCACCACTTGAACCTATTTGTGAAGTGAACAGCTTGATCCACCAAGAAGGGCCACGAACTAAGGTTTTGATCCACCAACGCCCATAAAGAAAGCCCAATCGACAAAATTCATTTCTTGGCCACGTCCAAGGGTTGTTCATATGTCAGGGTGGACTCGAGCTTCTTGGACTCATTCAACTTCCTCACAGCCTTCATGAAGTCCTCGTGAGTGACATAGTCCCGCTCATCCCTGATTGCGAACATCCCTGCCTCTGTGCACACATTCCTCAAATCTGCACCATTAAAGTTCTCTGCAAGTTTCACCGCTGCTTCATAGTCTATGTCCCCATGCTTAGTGAGCGGAGCAGAGTGAATCTTGAGGATCTCCATCCTCGCCTGCTCGTTTGGCAAGGGTATCTCGATCTTTCTGTCCAACCTGCCTGGCCTCATCAGGGCAGGGTCCAAGACGTCGGGCCTGTTTGTCGCCATGATCGTCTTCACTTTTCCCACCTTCACATGAAATGACACAGGTTCTTTGAGAACGAGCTTTCCTTGAAACTAAGCAAGGCGCAAGACTGAGTAGCCGACCTTCATGCCAAGTGGAACAATATGCTTAAGGAACTGCACGTTGGCTGCAAATCAGCAGAGGACAATAATATGCAAAGCTGTCACAGACATTCGTTGATTCTTCCACTATCATAGCCAAAAGGAGCCCTATTTTGGAATGCAGTTAAGTTCTTCATCGATCTGGCAGTTCTTTACATTGTCTTTGAGTGAAGGGAAGGACACACTTGCTGGGCCATTGTTTCTTCCGATGCCCAATGCAGAACTGGCACGCACTTTTGCACACTGTCTGCATCTGGCTCGTTACCAAATCTTAAGTCAACAATGCATTGCTCTTTTTACATCTCGCCCTGTCACCCTCAGGGACTTCTGCCTGGTCTCTATACTGTAGGGAAGACAGTCTCAAAGTATGTTGCAAAAGAAATGGACACCTGTTATGCAATTTCCCTAATCTTTGCAAAGACACAGAGAAGGCTGCATTGTGGCCTAGGGAGGTGTAAGAGACTTGTTTCAGCAACACTAAGTCAACATCAAGCGATGCTGCAAGGAAGATGTCTCACCACAATTCAGCAAACATAACAAAGGGGCTACTTGAAAGATAAGGCAAAGAAGCTCACAGTTCGCACCTTTTCAAAGCCATCCAGCTGACTGAGGAGCTCCATCAATGTGCGCTGGATCTCCCTGTCTGCACTGGTGCCCTCACTGAACCTCCTGCCCCCGATGGCATCGATCTCATCCATGAAGATTACGCAGGGTTCATGGTCGCGAGCATAGCCAAACATCTCGCGGATGATCCTTGCGCTCTCCCCAATGTACTTGTCTACTATTGCGCTGGACACCACCTGGAGGGTGCCACAAAACAACGGACGCTGCCTTCATATTCTGAGGCTTAGAATTGTCATAACAGCTCAAACAAACAAGGGCCACACATGCTGTAGGCCATGCTGGTAGGTTGACGATGCTTACACAATGTACACTGTGCTGACTGGAGCACATGCTTTTACCCTCTGCAGGGCAAGACTGAACCCTTGACCAGCGCAAGATATATCTGGCAGAGAGATCATGCAGGCATCATATTGGTGCCACAGTCCTCTTGCTGAAAGCACAGTCTCCAAACAGGTTGCCAAAAAAACCGAAATGCTAAAGCCAGATTACCAAATGGCTGCAGCTTCAGCATCAAAAATATTGCTGATCATGTCTTAGAAGGCTTGTTAGTCAGAGAACAACTCTGCTGGAGAAGCAGAAACAGATACAACCCACACTTTGACCCACATCCCCTAAATGCCTGACTTGCCTGGTTGCGGGGATTTGGCTGCCAATTTCCAAGCCAGCACTTGGCACAGAACTGCACACATTGGACTGACTGACGAGCGAGCGTTTGCCAGGCATGTGCAACTACCCCACTAAAGAAACTCTTGTGCAAATCACAATTGCCATCCAGGGTGTTGTGCTGATGGGAAGCACATGGGACAAAACCCCAGCACGAACAAGTGCATGTGGCTGTGATGAGCAGCACAGGCTAGGTACAAGGGTTCAAAGAATGCAACAAGAAAGGGATACATGTCATAAAATGTGCGCACAACTCGTGCGCCAAAGGGTGGTGATACTGTGCTGTCAGAGAGGATGTGGAACTCTCCAGATACAATGATCTGGGCATTGCACAATCACTGATTAGATGTTTCCATGTCCGTCATTGCCTGCAGGGTGGGAGGCCTTTGTTTGTCATGTTTTCCCCGACAACTTCAATCCGTAGAACTGCAAGCAAGTCTGAAGAGGCAGGGTGAAAACACAAGCAACGCCGCCCAGCAACAAACCAGGATGGTGCCGATCGGGCCAGAAGCACAGCACGCCCCCCTTTGCAGTGGACGAACGCCTCATGCACTACCCAGAATAGATCACCCATCGCTCGATGTGTTCCAAAACCTGGATCTTCATTCCATATCGAAGCAAGCGCTCACGGCTACCTTCAAGAAATTGGCGTCGATGTTGGACGCCACGGCGCGCGCCAGCAGCGTCTTCCCGGTCCCCGGCGGCCCGTACAGCAGCACGCCCTTGGGCGGCATGATCCCCACCCTCAGGAACAGCTCCGGGTTGAGCAGCGGCAGCTCGATCGACTCCCTCAACTCCCGGATCTGCTCGCTCAGCCCGCCGATGCTGGAGTAGTCCACGTTGCCCGCGTCCTCGTTCAGCATGTTGAACACCACGGGGTCCACCTCGCGCGGCAGCGCGCGCATGATCGTCAGCGTGGTCATGTCCAGCGCCACGCGCGTGCCGCTGCTCAGCCGCGCCTTCTCCAGCTTGCTGCGGCAGCCCACCACGTAGCGCGGCCCGCTGCTGGCCTTCACGATGAAGCGCTCATCGTCCAACTGTCTCAGGACCTCGCCGATGATCTGCCCCACACTCTGCAGGGCGCGCAGCTCGTCCTCCGACTTGTCGTAGTCCTTCTGGAGGGCCTTCATGTCCTGGCGCAACTTGCGCACCCGGGCGTCGATCTCCTTGTGCTTCAGCATGCGCTGCCGAAACTCCCCCAGGGCCTCCTCCTTGTCGCGCGCCTCCGCGTCGGCCATCGCGGCGCTTGGGCTGGGCGGCCGGTCGCTCGACGCTGGCGGGGGGCTGGAGTCGGCTTCTGCAGCAAACTCGTGAAGACGGTAGGGGCGGCACAACGTACATACATTCGATACTCAATCGAAACCATCCACAACATCCAGCCCATTGTTGATTGTTGTCCTCATGAAGACAGAAACTGAAGAGTACTCGTCACATGGTCGCTCCCATGCACGGGACGCAGAGCCGTGACCGGATGTGGTACAAGATGAGCGTCTCAATAACATTCAGTGTAAGCATGTTCCACCCGTGTCTCCATTGTCTCTGAGACGAAAACCAAGGACACTTACACACAAAGGCTACCAGGAATAGGAAGCCAAGCCGCCACCAGATGAGTTACAGAACAAGCACAGCAAGCAAATTGTACTCGCCGTAAACGTTCTCAGTTAGTAATCACCGTATCCCATGTCCATCTCACCGTATTTTAACACCACGTTCCCCGTGGTCAGGCGTGCCATATTTTGGCACCATTCGCTATATAAGTACTTTGTTCGCGTGAGCCGCCCATTTTACGATGGTGGGGCGGGAACACGTCTTTGTCGAACGTAGGCGGCAATTCGGTGCTGAAGAAACCAGCACCGTGCCCTGCATCGACATGGACCGTGTACCACCATGGTCGCTCGGCGCACATGCCCTTAGATATTTTTGCATGTCCGCCCAGCGCCATTACGGCGAGGTCGCTGTGCAGCGCACCACTTTACGCATCTGTATGCTCCTTCTGGTGCATTCTAGCGCGCCGTGCAGCCGTGATTCATGGCACCATGCGCTTTTACGGCAATGAATCGTATGTGGATTTGCGTCGACCTTATCACAGGTCAGGCAGCGCTTTTTCCAATGCGTTTTGGCGACGATGCGCTTTTCAGCGAACCGCACGGCCTGTTCGGCCAGTTGCACAGCCGCTGCTGCGGTTTCCACCAGAGCGAGCGGCAAGAAAACCCTAGCCTCAGGGGGATGCGCACGCACGCGTGCGGCATGCCGCGAGGTGCCATGCCAGGGTTGGGAGACACGATTCAGACCGGAAAGTTGGGGGTCTGAGGCTTCTACAAGGCAGTGATACAAGCACAATTGAACGGAAATGTCCCTTGGACCCAAAAAAGTCACGTATGGCTCCCTCAAAAGGGGCAGCACCCTTCCGATCTCACATGCCGCGCAGCCACACACACTGATGACTCAATGCATACTCAGACTGCATGCGCTGAGCACGACATTAGTGTACAAGACTCCCGTCAGCTCATTGGCTGAGCCCTCCCCATACTTTGCTGCACGCCAGCACCTCATGACCAGGACTAAAGCCAACGAAATGTGTGTAATCTTCTCAGCGTATCAGTGATCTCCAAATGACGCGTTGGCTTCCTAATTTCTACTTGTTTTCTCAACGTGCATACCCGGCCCATCACAGGAAAAGGGGCAATGATCAATTCTTTCCAATCATGTTCATATATACTCTAGACAGATTCCCACAGCTCCTGAAACAGTTCATAGCCCTTTGCAGTGCAATCTAGGACATAGGCTGATGCTCTTTACTCCCAAATTTATGAGTCAAAGCCGCGCCAAAGCTGCTCGGAAACCGCGCGGACGGGCCCCTTTCCCGTAGTGAAAGGACCACCACCATTTCCGCCGGGCCGGGCTCCTTGTCCCACCCAGGTCCACACACACACTGGATCAATACATTACACGACACTGTTTGTCCCAATACAACCCGAGGTACCCACAACTTTGTGTGCCCAATCGCTTCGCTAGTAGTTAAGCCAATCCCATACCAGACTCAACCCTTGAGTCAGACCCACCACACCTCATTCCATCGTGCTTAACTCCTACACTTGCCTCAAAATCCACCGAACATCACCCTAATAGGGGGGGCCGGGCGGGAAGCGAAACAAGATAAGGTGGGGACCGAGGGGTGAGCCTAAGTAGCCTCCCCGCTCGCGCCCGCCAAAGCCCGCCACTCCCAAGGGCGCCAAAAACCACTGGCCCTCCTTGAACGCGACGAACCAGCCATTGACCCAAGGTACAGGGGGACAGAAACCCCAAGGGGCCGCCAAAACCGTTGTACTTTAAGCAGCGCTGTCCCAAGTGGGTCAGCGCGCCCGCCCCTCGTCGCCCTGGGCGGAAACCACTTAACAAGATAGTTAATCCCATTTCCGCCGGGCCGGGCTCCTTGTCCCACCCAGGTCCACACACACACTGGACCAATACATTACACGACACTGTTTGTCCCAATACAACCTGAGGTACCCACAACTTTGTGTGCCCAGTCACCCTCAAACACACGGTGCTCCTCCGGAGCAGAAGATGTGGCCATACCTGGCATGCAAATCCCGGGCGGTAAACGTCATCCACCCGAAAAGGCGATAGTCCCATTCTGATGGGATGCGATACACATCGATATACCGCCAAAGTGCAGCGCCCCGCCAATCGCCCCAGTGGCGGATACGTTGCTCGGGCACCTCCAAGGCGAAGCAGGCCGACGCCCCACCCGCGCGTAGACCGTGGTGATCGAAAGCGCCCGGGTGCAGATCGGGCGAGGAGGCCAGGAGGTCCCGGAACCAGGAGGAAACCGTGCGGGAGGACGGGTCGCGTTCGCCCGGGAGCGTGAAGAAATGCGTCGGCGTCCCATTGGCCTCCGCCCAGGCGCGATCCCGAAAGGCGCCCCAACGAAGGATTAAGTCCACGATCTCGGGGGCGCCCTGCGACGGCCAGGAACGGAGGCGGACGGACGGGTCCGAATCGGGCTTGAGTTTGGTCTTGCGCTCCCGGAAGATCACGACGCCGTCGGTCACCCGCACGTCGTCCAACAAAATGAAATGGCCGCTTTGGGCGCGGTTGAAGAAAACGAAGTCGAGAAGGGCGGAAACGGACGCCCGCAGCATGAAGAGGTCCTCGGTGTGCAGTCCCCGCTCCAGCACGTGGAGCATTAAGGCCGCCGGCACCGGCGCATGAGCGGCCGCAGGCTCCGGGCACTGACGACGCCAAGACCGGGTGAGCAAGCGGGTCACCCGGTCGAACGCCGAGAATTGCAGATGGCCGGCGATTTGGTGCACCATCGAAATGGCGGCCAGGTACTGCGGGAGGCTGTGGACGCCCACCCGGCCCTCCTCCCGCAAGAACTTGATGTAGCGGTAGATCGTGGCCGGATGGGCGGGGAGGGCCGGGAGGTCCACGGAGGCGCAGAACGCTTGGAACTTGGCGAACTTGGCCTGCATGGATCACCGCGTCGACTCCATGTAGAAAGACAAGAACTGTGACTGCATCCACGCGCAGTCCGACTGCAGCAGGCCATCAACATCCAGCCCGTAGAGGGGATGATCTGTAGGCATAGGCTCCACCGGCAACGAGTCATCCGGCGGAAGGTCGGGCCCCCCGGCGGAGGAGCTGGGCGCCCCCTCTAGGGAGCCGGCCGAGGGCGGATGTGGAACGCCCGGAGGTTCCACTTCGGCGGAGGAAGGTCCGCCGGAAGACTCGGATCCCCGGGGCGAAACATCCCCGGATGGCGGGGAATCTGAAGATCGTCCACCGCAAGAGTCTGGAGAGGCTGAAACCAAAGCGCGCTCAGCCAATCCGGCGCAATGACGACGGCCTCCACGGCGGGCCGAGCGGCGAGGAAGGAGACGAGCCGGAGAAGGAGGCACCAAGGGGGGTTGCACCAGTTGGTGTCCCCCGTCCAGTCTTGGAGAAAGGCGTCCGTCCCCGCACTCCCCACGTCCGCGTGCAGGCTGTTGTACCGTGGGCAGAGGGAATTCGCCGCGGAAGCAAAGCGGTCGCACGTCCGGCGACCGAAGCGTTGAGTCAGCCGGTGGAAAATAGCCGGGTGAAGCTGGTAGTCGTCCGCCACCCGCACCCGGGACAGCCGGTCTGGTATGACGTTGTCCGCCGACCGAATGTAGTTCGGGTCGAGTAGGAGGCGGCGCGCCGAACAGACTCGGTGCAGCTGACGCAGGGGGGTGAGGAGCTGCTTGGAATGGGTAGTCATGCTGCGCAGGCAGTACATGACCACCTGGTTGTCGACCAGCAGCTTGAGTCTCGAAGGAAGGCCATGGGAAGCAGCCGGAAAAAAGCTGAGAATGGCTCTCTCCACCGCCTGCATCTCACGCACATTGATGTGCATTAAGAAACGGTCCCAAAACCCCCTGGCGAGGAGGGGGCGGGACCTCCCCGGAGGAGCGAAGGTGGCCCCCCAATCGGTCAGACTGGCGTCCGTTGCCAGGGTGCCGGCGAAGGGGATCACGTCGGGGTTGAGTGGACGGCCTTCGCAGCGGCGGATGTTGACCCACGCCTCCAAGTCCAGCCGGGCTTGGGGGGAGAGGATCAGGCGATCCCGCCAGCTCCGCTTGGAACGAAGAACCGCATAGAGACTTTGCAAGAAAAACCGGGCCAAAAGAAACGCCAAATAAAGGGAAATGGCGAGGCCGCAGAAACGGGCCAAATCCCTGGCCACAACCCAGTGGGCGGATTGCAAAATGCGAGCCTGATTGGCGATCAACGCGGCCTTTTCCGGGGGAACCTCAAAACGGCCATGGGCCGTGTCCACAATCACCCCCAAATGCTTCTTGTGCATAACGGGGGTCCATTGACATTTCCGCTCCTTGAATTGGATGCCCAGTGAGGCAAACATACCCCGAACTTGGACTGAACTTGTTCAAACGAGCGGCATCATGCATGGCCGCCAAAAAATCATCAAGATACGCCAACAGAATGGCTGGCGGTTCACTAGTATACACGCGAAAATATGTAGCTATTGAGTCATCCCCCGCTAAGCAGCCAAAGCGGAAATGGCAAGCCGCCTTAGGGCAACTGCTGGGGGACCTTAAGAAACGCCCCACAACAAGCATGAAGTGGGTGAAAAAGAAAGGGGCCAAAGAGAGGCCAAAAGGGAGAGCTCTACAAGCGAAAATTTTGTCTCCCATTCGAAATTGGAGGAAACATTCCTCCGATTGACACACACGCAGATGATGATAAGCATCTT